AACTTATTGCAATGTCAATATGTCATTGACGAACTTGAGGTACTCTTCCGGTCCTCTCTATGTGATGTTTGCCATGTAAACCAATTAACAGAATACAAAAACGTAAATAAATACAAACGATAAATGCTTAACGAATTTATGCGTTGTGACTGGATTTAAAAACTTAAGTTTATATTACATTTTTACCTCGTTACAGCTAATAACGTCCATGTTGGCGTGTCGCCAAATATCAACATTAACTTCAAAAGACACTTAGTAAGTTTCGCACGTTCGCACCGAATTTAATTACTTTAAACTCGACTAATATTACAAATGCAAGGGTAAGTTTTCTCCTTACGATTTCGCACTTGCACAACAGCATCAAGAATATTATTGCCGCTAAATAAGTGATTGAGATAATGAAATTATTTTCATCTCTCTCTTTTTAGACCAAAAAAAGGCGACGGCGTGTGACAGACACAGAAACCTCACCTACAAGTGCCTATTGGAAAAAACAAATGATTACACAAAAGATACAGAAAGCTGACACCCAGATCTTGTAGCGCCAATGGTACGCCATATTACGTTAATATATTCTAATCCAAACTGTTTGAGATTCATACGGAAACATTGAACAACGCAACACCCACAACTTCCGACCCGATTTTCATTCAAAATAATCAGTTATTACGTAAGTGGTGTATATCATCTATGAAACAGAAATATGGGTGGTTAATTATTAGCATATAAACATACATTCCATAAAATATTTCACGTCTTATCTTAGGTTCTGGGTTCGAATGCCAGTGTTACAATTATTGTGCCGGCTTAGTACGCATAGAATGGGGTTAACTTACTTCATTAAAACATAATAGGATACTGTAAAATACATATTATGAACATAAATATGTACATTGACTTACCTAAATGATGTACATATTACCGTGTGCTATATTACTCAATTATTTTTGATCGAAAATTATAATTGCACTACACTTATATATTGTAATTAAAGCATTACTATATTTATTTTAGAAATATTTAAAAGTTTGAATATTTGAATATTATTTAAAAGTTTGGACCTTAGAAGAGAACTCGTTTAAAATTTTGCGCTATTCACAAAGAACTTAATTAATTTTCGCAAACTACCTACTGCATACTTCTTTCCAATAATGTATCTTAACATATGATAATTATTCAAACATTTCTTAGCGCTGCTCTTAAAGAACGCAGTGCTTTTAAAGAGTATAATATACAACATAGAACTGTTTTAATAATCATAACAATTATAATTTTGCTTTTTTAACATCTTCATCGACACTTCTCCGTGCCGACTCCATCTTCCTTAACATCGTCACTTTCGACAGCAACGTCACTTTTGCCACCGTCAGCTTTGTGGTAGTCATTTTGATGGGCCTGAGTTTCCGACGAGGTGTCGACGCATACCAGCTCTCACAAGGCCATAGCAGGTCGCAAGATAGCAAGGCCCTTCAGGATGTATACTTTAAAAGAATATAAATATTAGACCTAGAACTTAAAAACGTCGACGTAACATATAAGCAATATAAAATGTATAAAAGGCAAATACAAACATACAGCTATGTTTTTCATAAACGACCGCGGTCAGTCTCTTGCTCAATGCTGATACAAAGCAGATAATGTAAAAAAGTTACCTTCAAATCCGCTAACCAATTTGATTTACCCACGTGAAATAATACTATTTTATACGGTTATCTGTGTCGCAAAAGTTTAGATATTCTTTCCAATTGTGTCGATTCCAGTTGGTATGTTATCCCTATTAGTTTTATCAGACAATGACAAACAGTGAAGGTTGCGCACTAGGCTATAAATTACACGAGCCGTTATTTGAGATAATAGCATGTGTTCGGGGTACGAAAGATATATTAGACTAAATATATCTTACTTAAATTACGATTTGCACAACAGACCAAATTAACTTCAATCAAGATACGTTTATATTAATTAGGCGAATGATTATATATTTAGGCTGTTGTTCGTAGAATTCCCTTATTGATAAAATTCTGTTATTTTTTACATACGTCGTAAGGTGTCAGTACTATGCCTACCATTCCGAAACAATTAATGTTTAATATATTATCACCTACAGGTTCGTCGTATAATTATTATTTACTTGTCAAAAAAGGCTGCAGTTTTCACAGTACTTTCAAACTATAACATGACATAGATTACGAATTTTGGCTTAAACCTTTCTGGATAAAATAATTCAACAGTGAATCCGAATTTTGACATTGTCAGTTAGAAATAAATAACCATTTTCGAGTTGCTTATTGTTGATAAGTAATATTCAGTAGGTTGTATTTTTTTAAATTATGCCAACTTATATTTTAGAATCATAAAAAAATAAATGAAAATCAGTGGCGCTACAACCTCTTTAGGTCTGGGCCTCAGATTTCGGAATCTGTTTAATGATCATTTTTTCAATCTAATAGGCAAGTAGGTGATCAGCCTCCTGTGCATGATACACGCCGACGACTTTTTGGGTCTAAGACATGTCGGTTACCTCACGATGTATTCCTTCACCGTTCGAGCGAATGTTAAAGACGCACATAGAAAGAAAATCCATTGGTGCATAGCCGGGGATCGAACCTACGGCCTCAGCGATGAGAGTCGCACGCTGAAGCCACTAGGCCAACACTGCATTAGAATTATATTGCCCCTAAAACTAAGAAAAATACGTATTTTATGGATTTCTAGAAGTTATTAACACGGTAACAATATGGGCCTCCGGGGCCCAGCAGCCAGTCCCAGGTGCCGGTAAACTTTAATAAGATTTTTACGATAATTGCCACACAACTGCTTTCTCAGATTATGAATATTAATTTGGATTAGTAATCATGTCTCGCATTTTTACTTTTGACTGCTTTACACTAACATGTTCGGAATTACCCAGGGGAATGTCACCACTCTCGGCTAAGGTAATTATTCTTATTTCAGTCTCGAGTAAGAGTTCGAAGTTTATATAAAACAAATGTTTATTTACTTATTTAATAATGTATTTAGTTTTTATGTTAATAAAAATAAACACTAATTAACAGGCAAGCTAAATAATTTGATATGATAATAATGAAGAACGTATACGTCTGGCCACGACCTCTCGTGCCTAATTTTACCTTGAGAAACCCGAATACGGGCGTATTACGATAACCCGATAGTAGAATGGCTTAAGGAGTGTAGGAGTCAAGGCCCTCGCTTTAGGGCGGTTTAAAGCTATTCCTTTTCAAAGCACCCCGTCGAGCGATTGCCGCTTGCGGTAACGTCATACTTTTTTTTTAAATTACCATATAGGTTTATTAAAAAATATTATTTGATAAAATAGATTTATTCTATAGTTTATAATTTCACATTTGGGCAACACAAACACATATTATGTTAAATATATGATACCCCTAGAGCATGTCTAGGCAATACAAGTTGTGGTTTTCACGTAGGTAGGTACCCATTTTTCACAAACGGTTTTTGTTACAGTTATCTATCTTTGTAACAGGATTACAGGAGTTCGAAACCGAAAGCCATAAAACTAACAAGCACTATTTCACGCGTACGGTAAGCTGGCTTAATGAAATCTCTTTGGTATCGTATGTGCCAGAGACAATCCCGGAGGCGCATCGACTATGCCGCATTATCGCAAATATCTATAGTGTTCGAAGTTGTGTTTGCTTTAACTTTTGTTAATTTTTTTTATTGTATCTAGGTTCTGCATGAATGAAAATATGTATTGTAAAATCAATAAAATATAATTAACATAAAATGTTGTTATTGAAATTGTATTCATTTTACAGTTTTAAGTAAACACACAGTATACACGTAATATTATTACTTATCTTGTTAAATACCTGTGCAACTAACTGACCGAATTTTGAGATAGAAGAGTCGAAATAAATTGAAATTATAATTATAATCTATTGAACGTGACTTCGGTGTGAACATCTGTTAATATTTTATGGCTGTATTGACAAGATCCTATGAGAAATAAAGTATGTATTAACCCACGCCTCGCAGATAGGTGTTCAGTGATTCAATTTAACCCGTGAGAGCGGATTTACTGCCTTAGCGACCTATTTGTTTCCCAGAATATATTTTGTAAATAATAAATTCTGAACTTAATCCTCAGTCCATATAGATGAAAGTACTTTTTGCTTCGTTTCTTTTACGATAATCGATTCTTATCAAAGCCAATGAAATCTAAATTCATTTTTATTAATATAGTTGAAAAAATTCGCTATGAATTATAGACACCGTTTTTTATAAACACCATTAGATCCTTTCATTTCTATAGATTATAAAATAAAAAAAATATTGATTCTGATAAATAGTTTATTCTTACATATATAAGCAAGATATACAATATAATGTTAATCACATTTTAATTAGATTTGATTATTATACAATTGTGACAAAAGTGGTGGCCTCAGCCTTCATCTTTTGTTTATATCACTAAACAATATTCATTCATTATGAAAACTCATCTATATTGGAAAATTGCAAACCAGAGGTAAAAATAAATTTACCACCTCAAACTATTAATTGTTTTGTTCGTGAGGCAAAAATTATGAATTAAAGTTAAGCCGCCGAAGAAGGGAGGTTTGAGCTACGTTGATAAAGTTCTATGACACATAGTAATAAATAAACCGGTAAAGAAAAATTATAGAACGACCGACATAAACACGTTATCAAGTAAATTGCAGGTCAATGAGTATCAGTTTATGGTACAAACATAAAATCCGAACAAACTTTCAAAACGTGGACTAGCTTATATTTGTTATCATGGGTATCTAATATTTTATAAGGAAAAAACGTAACCATGGTAACAAATATTGTCACTTAACTTAAGGCCCAACGATTTCGACAATAACTAAAATATTAATGCCTATTTAGATATATGAGTGGCAGTTTACAATTCACTTAAATTACGTTTTCTCACTTGTTGCTAGTGCCATACAAAAATGTTTTCCTGCATCGATTATTCACGTATTTTAATTTTAAAAATATCCCAAAGATTGCTGTGCCCCATAAACTTTCACTTCGTCCTTTTTCATATCCAGTTCCGGTCTGAAAAAGAAACTCATATATATATATATATATATATATATATATAACATAGGTATTACAGTTTTCGTTATATTTTTAGTACACAAAGAGTAAAAATATATTATAGTTTTTACGAGTAAATAAATTTTTTTAATAAAGGTATTAAAACGTCACTGTCTCGTAATCATGCAGATAGAACGTTTTTTTATACGGGTAAAATTGAGGTAAATACACTTTTGTTATTCGAGTATATGTTGTATCAGCGACACGAAACTTATATCTGGTAGGTACTAGACTTTTATCTAGCAGACTGATCAACTACTTGGAGGATTCAGCATATATAAACAAAAATACGGAAAAAAATTAGGCTACTCACAATGTTAGTTGAACAGTTTGTTGTTGAGCTGAAACAATAAATTTAAATAAGATGAAACCTCAACAAATAATATACAATAGACAAGCACGCGTACAGCTCGAATCATCGTCTGCCTCCCATAGATGTTAAAATGTCGCGAAAGGCAAATTTTAGTATGAATACATGAAATTTACTCACGTATTCCTGGCTGCAGGATCCCGTTAACATCAGTGTAATATATTTGTTGTGGTAAATAGTCCTGCTTCTGTTCTATATATGTTTCAATTGGCTGAGGAACCATATCCTGTCGCCATTTGTCCATTTCCACGTCTACTTTTTGCATTCTTTCTACTTGTTTGTAGGACGGCTCCCCACCTATATAATCTCTCTTCGTTCTGTTGTGAGTTCGTATTTCGTGTTTGCGGAGGTCTGACCTAATTCAATAGTATGTTAGTGTCATATGTCATGTGCCACAGACGTTTAATGTTTATGCAAATGTTGCATAATAATCTGTGCCGTAAAGAGGATCGTCGTTGTATTTGGAGTCGCTTTATTTTTTATGTTGGCAACAATGTTATTTTAGTTCAGCAGTACCTCGATACTTAATATGACAAAATTAAACCTATATTACCTAGATTACTTGCTTCACAAACAAGAATTATATTAATTCGCATATCTGACACTCCGGTACACTTTCCGTACAGACTACCTACATCGATATTTGCTTACAGTGTAAAATTTACGTGAGGTCAAAGTACGGCTCATTTTCTGCCATTTTATAGAGATATCGTTATATGGTAAGAAACGACAAGGCAAACCGACGTTTTGGGAATTCAACGCGAAATAGAGTTACATGTAGTTAGTTTTTCAAGGATGGATGTTTGTTTAAATATAAATAATCACACAAGTGCTTTAATAAGATAAATTGTGATTAAATACATTAATAAATGCGCGGCGACATATGTCTTAATTGTAATTAGCATATAAAAAGTAATACAGAAAATGAACTCCTCATGGCAAAAAGTAATAATAGACACTGACTATCTTTCTTCGATTGATTTTAGCTATATCACATATTGATCATCTCAAAACTGTCATAGGGAAAAACATTTTGACAGCTACTAACTAACAGCAAATCTCATAGATATTATTTGGACGAATCAGAGTATAGACAAGGGAGGCCCTATCTCTAGCTTTAGTTTTTGGCAAATTTTTCATTTTTTTAGTATAGTAATACTTACTTATAGCAGAAATCCCTTCCACAGAAATTGCAAGCATGTTTTATGTTCATATGTGTTGCGTCGTGATGTTCGCGCAATCCTGCATTTGTTCGGAATGCTTTGTCGCACATAATACACTGCAAAAAATACAAAACATTATTTCCTTTCGATTTAAAAAAAAACTAATTTATTTTCTGAATATGATATGAAATAACAACTATCCAAAAAAATAGAAGGACGCTAAAAACATATTAAAAATATTTTCTTTAACTCACCTTAAACTGTTTTTCCTGGTGTGTTAGTTTATGTTTGTTCAAATTTGACGGGTTAACGAATGTGGCGGGACACGATGTACACTTGTATGGCTTCTCGCCCGTGTGTGTACGCATATGCATCACTAGATAGTACTTGTACTTGCATTTGTAAGGGCACAGATCACAGAAGAAATTAAATGTGTTTGTATGGACAAGCCTGAGAACATACGGACATACAATTCTATTTGAAATAAACAATAAAAAAATAATGATAAAAATTATTAACCTGAGGATGTTTTGCCTTTTTCTTTTTTGAATTTCAGGATGAGCAGAAATTTTATATAATATAGTCCTATTATTTAATATATGATGGACATAGTTAGTTAATTAAGTTGCTTTCGATTGTCAAACAAGTATGTCATTTTCGTTTATTTGATATTATCAAGAAAAATCTTGAAAAAAAACACCTTAAATAAACTTTGAGCTCCCAATAGCTATTAATTTTGTCCCTATCAGTCTAGCCATAGATTAATGAACTAAACTTGCGACTGTGTTGCCGTCACCAAATTCTACAATAATAATTAAAGTAACTCACATATGATTTTTCAGTCTTGCAATAACAGGAAACTCCTTACCACAAGTTGGACACTTGTGTGAAATAACCTCTTTATGAAAATGTCGCATGTGCTTCGCGATACTATAGACAAGCTGACCACAAACATCACATGCACGGAGCATACATTGTTTCACTTGTCTGTGGGCTATTAAACCATCCTGAAAAAAATTTAAAGCAGCATTAGCCTAGTTCACCGTGCAGTTCTCTACTTTGGGGCTGAACTCATCTGAACTCCAGTTGTACAGCAATGGCATTTTTCGCGAGGAAACCTCCATTTGCTATGGCAAAACATAAACTGTACACAATCATAGTGTACAGTTTATGTTGTTTAGGGAGCGTTCAAGTATTACGTCACGCAATTTTTGGAGATAATTGGACACCACCAGTGTAACGTGCCGTAACGTTTTTCTGTACCCGAGTATAGTAAAACGTTTCGTGACCACCTACACTTTATATCTAAAAGTTACCATTATGTGGTGTAAAGTACAGGAAAGTCCAAAATAATATTAACAATAACGCGTAATTCAATCCCCACCCCGCATCGTAACGTTTTACAAAAGACCCCCCCAAATTCGTTACGTTATACTCGTACGCTCCCTTACCCCTTTTTAATGATGATCAAAGAAGCATGTTTATGACTCAACATTTGTGTATCTTCAAGCTGTTAATTTAATGCATACCCTTGAAGTAAATGCCATATCACAAGAAGAACATTTTATCTCCTTCTTCTTTGGCTGTTGCTTTTGTTGTAATCTCTCCTTTTTCTTTCTTTCCAATTCCTGAGCCTCTTCATGTTTTAATCTTTTCTTCTTAAAATGGTGAAGTATTAATTGGAAGTCATGTTTTGAATATGGATATGAGTGTAAAGATGGATCTCCTGAAAAAAATATAATAATGCTACAAACTCCACAGGCTTTCAAGGATAGTAAAATAAAGTGATAACAAATTAGTTTTTATTTGGTCCAGTTTGTGGGTTTACAACTTGCCTGGCAATAAAAAAATACTATAAATTTGCATACCACTCTCATACCTTCTTCATACTAACATAAAACAAGTTAGATTTAATATTGAGAAAATAGTACTATGTTTAGGACTATTTTTACAATTACATAATAAATAAATATTTTAGAATATAGATATTAATAGATAATACATTCAGGAATTATCAAATTAAGTATCATGAATAACAAATGTTTCTTTACTTTCTGAAATCATATAATACTTGAGCCTTAATATTAAATAAAGGCTAAGGCTTGTTATCTAATTTAAAGATGTATTTATTTACCCATGGGATTCAATATCTTCTTAAATTTTCTGTCTGCAACCTCACAGTTCTTTCTAAAATTGATAGCTGCCTTCAGAGATTCTAAACATTCAGTACATATGTATTTAGGTAAAGAATCATCAGTGCTAATCTGAAATTTAATTATGTTTATTAAAGAGTTAGTTTGCTAATATATCTATTTTGTATTCTTGATACACACCGCTACATTGCCAATGCTGCTTATTGCTCCCATAATATTATCATAATCTGAAATGTGTTCACTAAGTGGTGTACAACCATTTCGTCCACAAACTCTACATATCATCTCCTTTGAAAGCCGTTGTGGCAGTTGCCTAGAATTTACGAAAAACATATCTAACATATCTCTGAGTAACAATTAGTTATAAAAGTTTTTTCATCTATCTTTGGACATTATGGTATTTTTTTAAGGAGTTATTTTAATTGTTAATGTAATAAGTAATGATGTACTAAATTTGTTTTATATCAAAGGAAGAGATAGTTTACCTGTCTGAAAACAGTTTGTACCAATGGTCATTCAAGCTCCCATCATCAGAAATTTTATTTGTGACAGGATAAGAAACTGTGCCTAACTTTGATATCATCTTTTTTGTTAGAAATACATTCATCATGATTTATTTGGTCAATACTGTGTGATTAATAAAAGAAAACATTTGTAGATACAAGCCAAGCTAAAACGAGAATTGAGATGTTTTGTAATTTGTTTTGACTTTTGATCACAGTTAGGGATGGACTCACGAAATAGAATCGGTGACCTTTTCGCAGATCGTATCGTGGGCATACGATCTAGTTGACTTTCAAATTAGATTTAAGTGACGATTCGAACTATATTAAATCCACATCCAAAGCGCAAGAGAAAGAAGAGAAATATAGTTTTAAGTATTAAACAACGTAAACAATATAACATACTAATGTATGTTAATCTTAAATTGGATTTTTGATCTATTAGAATTTGCACAACTAATAATTAAAATTTAACTACACTCCTAATAAAAAAAAACATTTAAAACACAAAGTTTCAGATTTGACATAAATTGTATCGCGATTCACGATCTTTGAGATTTAAAGAAGTGAATCGATGTACCAGTCAGATCGTATCGTCGCCTGAAAATCGAGTCAATCAAGTACACGCGACTCTCGGGTAATCGCATCCCTTAATTATAAGCTTAGTCTTTACAATACACATTTCTATTAATTTTACTTTATCTTTGTGGTGTCGGCAGAAATAGTCACATAAATAATAAAAAATAGCCTTAATAAAGTTGCTTTTTTTACACAGTAAATTTTAAACTCTAAATAGTAGAGAGAGTCTAAAGTAGTATACTCCGACATACTAATATCCAATCTGTGGTCAAAAGTTCTTAGCCCTTGTTATTGTTTTAACAAAAACTATTATTATTTGAAAACAATTAGAGAAATTATTCAATCTATTTATTAAACCTCATGGCTTCTTTTTTAATGTTAAAGTCAAGATCATTTGTAGATGCTATGGATAAAAGTATGACAAATATATTACAATCGTAAGTTAAAAGTTTATTTGTTGCTTTAGCTAAACTCGTATTAATAAGCCAATTTTATACCGAAATTTCGATAAAAAAACTGAAAAAGTATCATTCAAGAAATTAATAACGTAAATAGTTTGAACATAGTAAAATTTATTAAGTTAATTTAAAGTAAAATAAGCGTGTAATCTCAAATAAAACTGATTGCAGTGTATCAGAAGATTCAACACATTCTGACGTGTGTCGAATATGTAACCAAGGAAATGCTAATATTCCTATTTTTAATGATACAAGTCATATAAATATTTCCAAAGAAGTTATGCATATCACAGGAGTTTTTGTAAGTTTTTTTTATAAAAAGCATATTCACCTGGTGGTATTAAATTGCACTAATTTCAAAGTACAATTTTTAGATGCATAAAATTGACAAATATTCAAAATATATCTGTGAAAATTGCTTCAATCTACTTAAAGGATCAATATTCTTTCGGGAGCTATGTCTCAGAAACAACCAAAACTGTTTAAAAAAGCTATCAAATCGAGAAGGTAAACTATTTAAAAATGTTATGTTGTGTCTCCCTTATCATTTAAATTCAAATTTAATGACGTGGAATAAGTGATACATTTATCTTATGTTCCATAATAAACATATTTTATTTTATTTTTATTTTATATTATTATTCTACATTCTAACTTATCTGTTACATGTCAATTGTCTTTATTTTTAGAACATATGAAAACTGATCAGGAGCAGGTGTTTGAACAGGAAACACCACCAAATCACTGTGATGATGAAGTAGATACATGGCTTTGTTCCTCTTGCAATAAAGAATTTTTAGACATGGTAACATTTACTTATTGCTTTATAGTTATTTATCATGAACAATGAGAAACTATACTAGAGCCGTTGAAATAATTATACTTTTGATTCATTTTTTTGTGGACAAGCAAGGGCAAAATAAAAAACAACTATTTTTTTTCATATTATTCCAGATTTCATATGACATACACTGTACAGAATGCAATAAAAATTATGAAAATGCAGAATTAAATTTTAAGGTAGAGAAAAATGAGAGAGCATTATGTGAAGTCTGTGGCAAGACTATAGCTTGTGTTGGACAACTAACGCTTCATTTGTAAGTTTTTTACACAAAAATATAAAAAATTCGAGGATTTTCTCAGATTACTTTAAGATTGCTATTGCTAAGATTCCTGTGATCAGCCACAAGATATTTTTATATTTCAATATTATTAATACAGGGTGGGCCATATAAGCGCGATTTAATTCTTCAATTTCTCGAAAACGCGTAGCACGGGGCAGCTGGGGCCTGGGGGATATGTTGTTAGCTGCGCCGCTTCCTGGAAATTTGTCGCCATGGAGCCGTACACGGGAGGGCAGCGTGCATTTTGTGTCCGAGCGTATTACGAAAACAAAGCTGTGATTACTGCACGACGTTTGTATCGACATGAACACGGTTTACGCGATTTAAGTGAAGTTCCAAGCGCCAATGTGATACGGAAATGGATCAGAATGTTCGAAAGAACCGGCTCAACAGTACCAAATACGCCTCGTGGTCACCCAGTTTCTGCAAGATCAGCCGACATTGTGGAGCGAGTTCATGTTACAGTTCAGCCAGATGATGCCAATAACCGCTCGAGCATCAAATTGACAAAGTTAGTCAATTTGATGCTCGAGCGGTTCAACAATTTCAACAGCGTGATGTTTAATGATGAGGCCAATTTTCACCTTAATGGCCATGTGAACAAGCAAAATTGTCTGTTCTGGTCCAAAACTAATCCCCGACGCTTGCATGAACGTCCACTTCACAGCCCTAAGTTTGTCGTGTGGGCTGGGATATCGTCAACCGGTATTATTGGGCCATACCTTTTTGAGGACGAAAGCGATGCGGTTAGAGCCAACAATTATTGCAACATCATAAAAGACTTTTTGGTGCCAGTTTTGCAAGAACTTCAAATCCTCTAGGATGTGTTTGTTTCAACAGGATGGGGCCACATGTCATACGGCTAGGGTATCCATAGAGCTGCTGAAAAATGTGTTTCCCGGAAAACTCATTTCGATAAGGGGGGATATTGAATGTCCACCACGTAGCCCCGATCTCTCTCCATGCGATTATTTTCTATGGGGCTGCCTTAAATCGGTAGTCTACGAAAATAATCCGACCAATTTAGAGCAGCTGAAGAGGAATATTATTCGGGAAAGTAACAAAATACCGAACACAACTTTTCAACGAGTTTTCCAAAATTTGCGAAGTCGGTTCCTAGAGTCCTAAGCAGCCGGGGGAAGTCATTTGGATAACACTATTTTTAGGTCTTAAAAATTCCTATGTTTCTACTTTTTAAAAATACAAATATATTTTTGTTATGTCTCGTAGTTATTTTTTAATTAAATATTGAAACCGCTAACACCCTTATGGCCCACCCTGTACTTATTTGTTTTATAATTTACAGAAAAAGCCATAGCAATAGTTTTCCATACCTATGTGACACTTGTCCATACAGAGGTAGAACAGTGGAACTATTAAAAGTACATAAAAGAATTCATTTAAAAGTCAAACCTTTTAAGTGTACTCAATGCCCTCAAAGAACTACCACACATGGAAACTTAAAAAAGCATATGGATCGTCGGCACAGCAATATTCAATACAAGGTACCTACTTATTTATGTGTAATGCATGGTTAGCAAATCTTCTAATTAAAAAATAAAATTTCGATTTGTAATGTCCAACTCCCTTGGTTTGTGTATGTGCCAAGGTTTTTCTTTGAAATTCTCTAACAGCCTATACCCCTGGCGACTTTGGGCAGACGTCGTGTTCCACCACGTTTAATATTTTGATTTCTACACACACTATATTTATTGATAAAGTAACATTTGATAAATGTGCCTAGGTGTACTTGGACACATGTAACCAGTTCTACCAGTTACATTCAAAGGATTAGGGCAATAATGTTCTGCTCTTATTACTTATAATCACAACTTCATTCAGTCTTAGGTAAAGCCTTCCTCCAGCTTTTTCCAAAGCTCTCTTTGCCATGACATTCTTTCTCCATTTGCTTCTATATCTTCTATCCACCTTATTCTAAGGCGGTTCTCTTTCCCCTTCGTCCTTTCCATATGTCTTAATATGTACATAATATTTAATAAATTCTCTTTACGAAATTTCAATTTTAAAAATAGAATTTCTATATGGTAATTCGCCCTTCTGACTCTTTCAAATCGGACCCAATCGCTCTCTCCCTTCTTCGACAAAAACGCTGCACATCTTCGTGACGCTAATATTATTATTACCCTCATGCGCCTAAAGAAGTTTCACTTCAATAATTATGACTTTTACTTTTCGTATTCCTACTGTAAAAAAAGGTATAGATGTATTATACGTGTGTCCCTCACGTGACATACGTCACAGGATCTAAACATTTTTCTGTAAAGAAAATAATTAGTAATAGAAAGTTGTCTTCTCCTATGTATCACCACAAGAGGATTCAACCTGTTTTGAAAGAACAAGAACAACCAACATGCATAATTTAGTTAGTCAATATATTTTTTTAAATAGTATATTCTATCTCTTTAGTGTCCTTATTGTGAGAAGATAACATCGTCGAAGCATGACCTTACAAAACACATCGAAGATATGCATTTAAATCAAGAGCCTTTCCCATGTGATATTTGTTGTAAAACTTTTAAAATAAGGTAGAGATTTTTTAATATAATACAAACTCAGTGGTATGCATGTTCCATTATATTTTTCCATCGATACTTTTTTAATAAATAGTTTAATTTGAATGTAAAGTACATTAGTTAACAAATCACAGATTAATCTTAATAACGCGTTTAGTCTTTTGTTTTAAAATGTATAATCCAGTCTTTCAAAAAAAAACACCACAGACTTATTGAGCCTATTTAAGAGATCAAAATTTTGACTAAAATTTAAATTCTATAATTCGTAACTTGATGGAAAGTGCGTAACGTTAGTAAACTTTTACAAATTGTATTTATTTTTCAGACATTATTTACGCAAGCACCTTAGAAAAGTTCACAAAATAAAAACGGGGCATCCAAGAGGTCGTATACCAGATTACTTGCGCTACCAAAATGAAGAAAGAAATAAAGATGAGGTTAACGCGGATGTCATGTCAATTAGTAATATGTCATGTATTATGTAAACTTGACTGAATGTGAACATAAGACAGAAGGTATCTGCTACGGAAGTCTGCAAAATCTCGCTTGAAGCTCATTGATATACAAAAACCCAAGATGCACAATCAACGTCTAAAAAACGTCCTCAAAAAATGAGCGCAACATTCTAAATTGTGCGCTCATTTCAAATAGTCTCGCGTCTATAAGTGGAGTCGATGTTATTTATTTGTGTTTTTTTTATAAATAAATTTATGTACTCTTGAACTTTTTTGTGTGTAGTTTTTGACAAATATATTTACGCTATATAAAGTGTGGGTCAGGAGGTAGCCAATTTAACATTTTTTTTAATTTAAAGAAAAAACTTTTTAACCGGATTAATGTTATGTATTATTATAAATTTACAACTATTTAACATCCAACACCTTTTGTCTTCAGTCACCGTGACCACTCACGCTGTAAAGCACCCGAAAAGTCGGATAAATTTAAAATTATGTTAAATAGTTGTAAATAAAAAAGTCATGTTCGACTCCACTCAATACCTTGTCCTACCGACCACGGTCGGTCGTAAAATTTTATTGCTTTAAGTACGTATACACTGCGTTGTAATAACAACTTTAAGCAATTCGCGTAAGGTTGATTTTGCGATAATATATGCTTGTAACATATACTGTTATGGACAGAAATAGTGTTTCGGGACACTTTCGAGCGTTACTTTTATTCGAGACTGTGCATCTTGGGTTTTTTGTATATCAATGTTGAAGCTTTAGAAATTTCGTGTGTAATTAGAATGTCAAGATTAAATAAGTAAATTGTTTGTGAAAAGAAGTCCTTGTACATTTATAAACTCCTTTCCAAACAAAACGGTCACCTAAGATTTTTTTTTTTTTCATTATTTCTTTAAAACCGATTTGTACACGGCCAAACAATTAAAAATGGTCGCCAATAAAGGCAAGATTTTATTACTCTTTTAAATTAAATAAAGTTACAAATGCAAAAACTAAATTTGTAAAAGATTATAATAAAAACCAAAAAAATTGTTTTTTTGAATTTTTCACATAAATTTTGAGGTTATGTGAAAAAAGTGTAAAGACAAAAGTTTTATCTACAACTTTGCCATTTGACTTTTTTCCATAGGACTTTGTTTTGCCGGAAATCGAGATAAACCGTTTTTTACCCTTAAAACTCACCCCCTTCCTCTTCCCGACCTCAGATAACCCGAAAATTATTTTTCCTTTAATTTTTATAATATTCTCCTTTTTCCAAATTCCAATAGGTTTCATCCTACTAAGTACTATTGACTATTTGGATTTTGGCCACGGTCTTCCTTATATTAAAGTTAAACGTCAGTAGACACACCATACTACTCTATAGTTTATTAGCGCCTGCCGCTTAGAACTATATCTACTATGAGCTATCTATATTCTGTTCTATAGTCAATGGACTCCCGTTACTTTTTACGTTTAGGTATTCCGAATTGAAAATACTTTGCTAATTAAATAAAAGTGTTGTATTAAAAATAAATAATCGTTGTGCCATACACTTTATATATTAATCAGAAGTACGAATCGTGTATAATTTATAATTTACTTGAAGCTTGTGTAACATTGTATTTATTTACTTGTGTAATATTTTTTTATAGAATGTCTAACTCAATTTAAATTTTGAAGCAATTATTTTAGTATAATAAAATTGAATTATAAAAAGTTATGACTTCACTTCTCTTTTTAAAATCTGTGTTGTTTGCTAATGCAACTCAAAAGAAAAAAAAAGTAAACAAGGTGTAAGTATATTTATTTAATTTCTAAACAACTTATAAAAGAAAGCTTAATATTGTATGTCGCTCAGTGTCTTGAACTGTAAAGGAATGTATTACAATAAGGTAGAAACCCTTTAATAACATAACAAGTTTAATTACAGTATCTCAAAACGAAAGAAATCATATGAGCATTGTCGAATATGTAATAAAATGAGGGCTGACATTCAAATTTTTGATAATTCGAATAAAATTAATATATCCGAAGAAGTTGAGAAAATATCTGGTGTTATGGTAAGTATATATTTTAGCAATTTAAATATCTTGGTACATTCATCAATATCATGTGCCAAGCATAACTAAGGATATGTGTTCCCAAATTAAATTAAAAAATATTTAACCGCCTGTTTTCATTATGATAAATTATATTAATTTTTCAGATTAGTAAGTTTGATGATCATTCAAAACACATTTGTCAAAATTGTTATCAACTTTTAAAGAGCTGTATTCTGTTTCGGGAGATGTGTCAAAAAAATAATAAGAGGCTTGAAGTTGAAGTGTCTATTAAAACAGGTACACTATAATAATAAAATAACTTTCACAGAAGACTTTTATTAACTAAAGTACTATGCATCTCCAAGACGTAGTATTTTGTCTACCAATAGTTAATCATGAATTTTTGGAATCAATACTTTAGTTAGAATGTGCAACTGAATTTAAAGCATTATACATAGTTTAGTTATATAGAGAACCATTTATTTTTATAGAGCAAATAGCTTGTAATGAAAAAGAAAGTTTTCCTACAACCTGTGAAGAAGAAGACGTGTACATACCATCGCCTGCAAATTCTGATGATGAATTGGACCTTTGGCAATGTTCTATATGCAACAAACAGTTTTTAAATGCGGTAAGTTTCTTTCTTTTAATGTTTAGTAAAACTAGTCAATAGTAACTTATCCCAACAAAACATTATAATATGGTATTCCTAGAATGCCAATATTTTACATAATAGAGCAGTTAATCAAGCGATTTCTTAATCCTGAAATCGTTCATTTGATTGTCTTCTTAACTTTTTCTGCCATACACTGTTATTTTTTGTAAGTTAGGAAGATTTCCACACGATGTTTTCTTTAACCATACATTGAGCAGTGCCCTTACTCTGTAACTTCCATTAGCGACAGCGATGTTTTCGTATTCATCTTCGATATAGTTCTCACAATATCCCTAACGCTGATGTCGCAACCTTGGGCCCGCGTAGTACAAAACTCATTATTGAGGCCTTGTTGGAAGTTACAGAGTTAGGGCTCAGGTTAGAGAGCGCACATAGCTCATATATTATAATATAACTAAAAAAATTAATTTCCTATGCAATTTTTGTAATTTAAGTAAAAATACACGTACAACATTTCTTATTGTATATTTTTAAATATCACCTAGACAATAAGGTTAAATTGAAGTTACAATTTCAATGAAAATACTATGTTTAATTTAAATTCTTTTAGAAATTATTTAATTTACACGTCAGACAATGTAAAAATGTGAATGGGGAGAAGAAAACATTTTTATGTGATATCTGTGGAAAAGTAACTAAGACTAAGGCAAATCTTTTAAATCACAAGTAAGTTTTCACTGCTTCCTCCGACGTAGATTAGTGTTTAACGTTCATGGCGTTTAACTCTGGGATATAACAGTAATTGATTCTTTAAAAAAAAGGGTGCGTGTACTTATGTACGCGCGTAAGAAGTTATACTTCTTTGGCATTATTAAAAATAGTTTTTGATTGTATGCAAATAATTAATTACAATTAAATAATCAAAGACTGGAAAATGAGTCCTTATAGTCAATAAAGTTCAGTTTACATTTGAAAAATTAAATAAATAAATATTTATTATTATTCTCTTACATTAAGTGTAACATAAATTCTATTATTATTCGAATGTTGTTTTTAAATTATGTCCAAAGCCGTAGCATCTTCCGTGGGCAACTTCATTCTGTTAATTTTGTGTCACGGTGCGCGCGCATCGTAAAATTTCACTCTCATCAATTTTTCATAACGCGCCTAAAGAAGTATAACTTCAAAAACTTAACGCCGATAGAGCTTTCTATCGCTCACGCTCTAGTTGCTGAGTGGCTGGATTAAATATAAACAAATTTCTATTTATTTTTAAAGAAATATACTGTTTTTATTTGAAGTGAGCATTATAAGTTTATACATATTATTAACTTGTAACTTTAATCACCTTCCACTGCGTGGGCCGCAGACTAGCTACCCCTATAAAATATAATTCATAAAACTTCGTCTTCGTCAGTCTTAATATGTACGGATTTAACATTGTCTTTGGTTAACATGATAATCACGAATATTATTTGCATAACCATTTCAAGTTATAAACAGCGGTGTTCTGTGAGAAACTTAACATAATTTTTTAGACGAATATTAAATGCTATACATATTTATTTTTTTATTTTATTTTTATTTATTTACACTTTATTATTAGCAATTAACAATTACAAGTTTATTATTATTACATATTTAATCATAATTTTGTATTTACAGAAGCACACACGTCAACGTGTTCCCATTTAAGTGTGATGTTTGTCCGTATAGAGGGAGGACGGTCGATTTACTAAGAGTGCACAAACGTAGCCATTTAAAAGATAAGCCATATAAATGTACTCAATGCCCCAAAGCTACAACCACCTCTAGTAATTTGGCCAAACACATACAACATGTCCATAGTAAAATTCGACCGCATAAGGTAATTTAAACAATGCAAGATGAAATAAGTATTGTCTTTTATTGACATAACTTTTACACATTTAAAGAAAACACTTTTCTACCGGATTGAAGTTACGTATTATTATAAATTTACAATTATTTAACTTAATTTAAAAAAACTATCCGACGTTTCGCGTGACTTACGGTGACTACCTAATACATAACTTTCTAACTTCTAACTTTAGGGTTGCCTGGAAGAAATCGCTTGTTAGTAAGGCCGCCCGTTGCCTAATAACTTATGTAACCTACTTACTTTTTGTTTTTTTTTCTATATGTATAATTATGTGTATTATGGCAATGAAATGTAAATAAATAAACTTCAATCCGGTAAAAAAGTGTTTTCTTTAAAAGAAGAAATAAATTTAAGAAGAAAAAGGCCTAACGACGTGGAAATTCAATTCGCCATCGGGCTTTAAATTTTTAATATTAACCTGAACTCAGAGCACGTTTCTTCAACGCCTTTTTAAATGTATTAAAATAGGTTATGTCTTTTATTTTATTTGAATATTAAAATGTTGTAATAGAACCATTGTCACCATTTTAAACACATTTCATTGTATTCGTCATTTTAAGTCTACGATCACGATGCCGCACGCAATACGCTGAGGACCGAAAAAAAACGTTAAGAGACATTCGACATGTTCGCAGGAATATTTTGTCCGTGCGGTTCATGTCTTTTAGTCTTTACGTGTTTGTGTCAAGTTATTGCCTGACACAGACACATATATATCGTAATAAACGTTCGGATAACTAATTTTAAGTGGTACCTCCGTCCATAGACACTTACACTGCCAAAGAAATCGCATGTGCGTTGACCTTTTAGAATACGCACTTTTCTTGAAGGACAAGGGTCCTCCGACTAAGGAGTCGGTTCAGAAATACTTTAATGGGCAGCGGGTTTCATATAGTGTCTCTAACAATACTTCTAAAACACCTTGTGTCTCTCTATATTAGCGGACCTTGCGGTGCTTTCATTATTCTACATTCCTTATTTGTTTATACAAAAGACATTTTTTAATAATTAAAATGTGTCATGTCTTGATTCTTGAATTTAATTTCAGTGTTCATACTGTGAGAAAGCTTTTTCGACAAAACATTGTATGAACAAGCACATCAAAGACATACATTTGAGACAAGGGACTGCTGAATGCGATATTTGCTTTAAGAAGTTTAATACTAAGTAAGTTTTTAGCTTATAATTCAAAGACAATGTGCGAAGTATCTGTGAAATGTTTGGCATTCGTGTCTGAAATTCGAGACTGTGAATTTTTTCTTAACTCGATTGCCTTTATAACAAATAATTATTGAATTTTATGAAATATATTTTTTTGTCTTTCCAATGGAGGAACGTTATATAACCTATTTTTTTAGGAAAATACTCCAAGGTCATCGACATAAAGTTCATAAAATTAAGGGCGAAAGACACGGTCGCCTGCCGTCGTACCTCCAATGTCAAACTGAAGAAAATCCTATTGATAATGACACATGTGAAGATATGCCTCTCGATAATTACTTACATTTATCCAATTAAAAGAACTGATTACCTACTTTAAGTTTTATAAGATTTATCTAAGAGTATTTAAAAGGGTCCATATTCTAAAACAATCTTTTACTCTAATAAGTTAATATTGAAATCTATTTCATGATAATTATGATTTGAAATGATGAGGATAGTATAGATAATACGATCTTAATTTATCTTGGATTATATAAGTTGAAAGTGTATCTGAAATATATTTATTTTAATAAAAAAACGAGACTTTTAATGTATATTATTGTTGTAATAGCTTAAAAATATAGGTACCAATGATATTTACGCGTTTGATAGTAATCATTTCGTTTAGTTTAGTAACTAACCTAATATAAACAAAATTATTTTGCGACAGAAATGGTCGTGCTTCTTTAGATCACATCTGCAATATAATTGCCTAAGGCCCCAGAATTATCGAAATCAAGAGGGAATTAATTAATATAACATGTAATGTTAATAATTTTTACCTTTTTTAATAAACCTCAATACTATCCCCTTATTCATAAAAACTACCCAGTCTAATTGCATCTTTAACTCTGGTTTGTTTCTGTCAAATGGTGTTGACGCTGTGATAAAGAGACACACAAACAGAAAGAAAGAAAAGAAAGACTGTATAACACATAAAAATACACACAAGTAGTTACTTTAGTCAAATAGAAGTTTAGGAAGAAATCACACTGATGTTGTTTTTATGGATAAGGGGTTATAAGCTACAAAGCACTTGAAACGTTGAGTACATAAATAAAACAGCATATATTATAGCTTTAATGTTAAAGTTAAATTAAAATAAAAGTGTTCGTACTTTTAGTATGGCGTTCTAATTTGATTTTTTATACTTAATTGATTGTACATCTGATACCTATTAAATATTTGCCGCTTTAGGTGTAGATAAATTAGTTTAAAATGTGAATTTCTCAGATTTTCTTTGCTTTTAATTTAACAAAAAGGCGTAGAGCATTCTTTCGTTGTTTTTAGTGCGTTCGCAAAGATTCTATAGAATATTCTAAGAATGCTCGTTCGCTTGATGTAAACGGCGCAAGAGCGCGCGAACAGTTGCTTAGAGCGTTCTAGCGTGTTCGGACGTGCTCGCGCCACTGAGCGGTCTTTTCAAAGCGTTCTTGTGTTCTAGCTCTAGCTCTATGTTCGTTTGATGTAAATCGATACCTCTAGCTTTCGTTTACACTAAAAGATTACGAAAGAATGCTCTTGTTCTAGCTCTAGCTCTATGTTCGTTTGATGTAAATCGACCTTTACACGAAAAGTTAACGATCTGAATTCTTAAATTGTATCGAAAATTTGAATTCAGAAACATCACTTTTTTAATAGTAGATATATGTAAATAAGTCACTAGAATTATTAAACGCGTTTCAAATTTCAAAAGTTTTGTAAGTATTATTGTCGTTCCGTTTGTCTTTCATTGTTTATTTATAAGTTTAAAAACAACATTAAAAATACGTGAACAACATGACATTACAAATTTTAGACAACAATAATATTAGACCATAGAAATCTATTCAAAATAATTAGATCGTAACAAAAATCATAATTTCTTGTATTTAGGATTGTTTTTATATATTGCACTTTTTTATATTTACAACATTATGCCCTATAATAGTGATGATAGCAACTCTGTAACGTTGTCTGATAATGTATTAATAAATTGAAGATTATTGACCATATTGTTTTCATTATTGTGTTTATTAACGTTTAAAAGAAGTTATTTGATTTTGTATATTTGTTTGTATTTACCTAAATCTACTTAACTGATTTTAAAAGTTCTTTCCTTCTATATAAAGCTGCACTATTTTATACTTGATTCCTAAAAAAAAAGTTAAAAGGTCCTTACGAAAATGACCACGTAACCTATGTTCGTAATAGCCGTACCCACGCTACGAAACTTGTCAATGATAGAGATAAAATAATCTCATATAACATTATATTAAAATGGTAATTCGTCACGAATTTCTTGGAAAATTTCTCTGGTCTTATTAAATAATAGTTAAAATGAAAATGTTACAGAAAATTTATATTATCTAAATAATTGTATCGCAATACACAAGGGCCCTATCCAAAATACTAAACAATATCATTTGTGTATCATTTCGTAGTTAATATATTTAGGAAATGTAAAATTTGATTTCCGTTGAATTAATAAATGTATCGGGATAGTTAGTCGCTTAAAAACATTTTTGTAACGCAGATTTATTTGTCTGTGCGAAGACATGGCGGAGTACTAGTGTTTAATATTTTTATTGTGTGAACTTCCCGGTAGTGTTTACCTATTAACTTATCTTAATGGCAATTTATAGGGACATTCACTTCATTCTTTTCTTCAAATATATTTACAAAGCATTAGTTGACTCATTGGCTAACTAGTAACCCATGTGAAAAGACTGATTAAGAGAAGAGAAAAGAAATGAGGGTACTTTTGATATTCTTGTGGTTTGTACAAACACATACTTTCGATTTACCAAATCATGGATGTGGATCTGATTTAACCATTGACAAGGACCATTATAACACTTCGAAAGTTTATAACATAGGAGACGCATTTCCAACGGAAACACATTACGATAAATTTGGAAATTTATTTTTCATTGAATCGGGCAGAAATCTCGATGGGTACTTTTTTCAGGCGAAAATGATAAAAGCTAATTCAACTGTCCCTGAAAGAATTGAAGGTAAGAAAGACTACATAGGTACTAGAAGTAAGATTGTCAAGGTGAATTTAATGTTTGTCGACTCAAACCAAAGAAACAAATTAATTGCATTCGCCTCCGGGCGATTGGGTTCAATACAATTTTTATATGACCGTGAACACGTGAAGGAAAATTGTTTTTTTTTTTAAATTTTATGCCTTAAGCAGGCCAATTTTAATGTATCTTCGATCAACGTTGCCCCTAAGGGCCAGTTTTTTGATCCGTAGTAAAAAATGGTTTTACCATTTGTTACATTAACTATAGTTAAATGAATAACCATTGGTAAAATCGTAAATGCGTTTTTCAATGCCTTTTTAACTATAGTTAAACTTAACAATTTGTCAATTTGTTGCCAGTGCAATGAGCAATGACATCCCAAAAAATGTGGTTCTTTTTTGTGGGGATCATTTATTTTGTATGACAACACTAGACATATTGAGTGAATGAAATCCATTTTTGCCATCTTCATTCGTTATTTGCGCTTTGAAGAGTTTGAAGTGTCAAATTAATCTAAATAACACGATATAAATAAAGTTGTTTTTCTGTGATTTAATACGGTTTACACTTTTTACGATACTTAAATATACAAATAACGATGTCCGCAAACAGCCAACGGTCAAATAAGTAAGTTCAAACATATTTTCGTGTTATTTATTCCGGTTTATCTTGTGTTTCGTAATAGAAAGTAATACATTTATGTTTTGTTAAAGGGACCATACTGCTAACTTCGCCAAAGACAAATAAACTGCCAAACTGGTGATGCTTCTCAAGGATTACACAGTCGTAACCTGCAAACAACTGATCACTGCAGCAATCTACAAAAAGATGCAGCTTGGAAATCTCTGTGACGTTTTCAACTCAGATGGGTCTAGACACCGAAGTGTTAAATTTAATATACATTTAATGAAGGTGTAGGCACATTTTTATATTTATTCTTGTATAGCTGTGTCCTACAACAAAAGGAAAAAAATCTTTTAACCCTTTGGAAACAAGGAAGCGGATTATGATCCACACGGATAAAAAAAATTGAGTTTAGAAACAAAGACAAATAAGAGAGGATGATTTGTTCAATTATGCTTAAGAAGAGCATCAAAAACATTTGCTGCACCAATGAGAGGCCCACCAAAAATTCATACTGCATAAAGAGGAGGTGCACCAAAAAGTGATGCAGCAGATGGAAGAAAGGCACAATAAATATATGTAGCAGCAAAAAGAGTTGCATCAAATTGAGGTGAAATGCAAGAAGAAACAATTAGAAAATATTTAATTGCTACTTTAGGGTTTCATGTAAATTTTGTAATGTTTTTTTAATAAAAATGGTTTGTATTTAAGTTATAATTAAACAGTTTATTAATCAAGTCAAATGTTTTATTTATAAATTCTTGTAATAAAGTAGATAGATGCTAACTCACAAATGTAATAAAAGCCCTAAAGAATATCATAGGTCCCTAACTAATGTGTAGCTGTAGTTTTTAGTATAAGTACATACTTGTATGTACTTATAATAATTATAAGTTAATATTATTAGTAATATATAAATAATATTTACTCTAATTCATTATATATTCTATTGCCTATAATATTAACTTATAATAATTATAAGTTAATATTATAGGCAATAAAACACATAGTGAATTAGTAATATACTTAATTATATACTGCTGCGGTTCTGTAGCTAGTAATGAAGCAAAATAGGTTTGTATGAGCTGCTGTCTATATATACTCTTGTTCTTGTATTTTATTTAATTATAATAATTATAAGTTAATATTATAGGCAATAAAACACATAATGAATTAGTAATATACTTAATTATATACTGCTGCGGTTCTGTAGTTAGTAATGAAGCAAAATAGGTTGGTATGAGCTGCTGTCTATATATACTCTTGTTCATTGGCAGTTTAAGATCATTCCCAATTTCAGTAACAATCCAGAGCACTGTTCCCTTCGATAGGGGGTAACAGTGACAAAAATCTACATCATCCCAGGTTTCTAATGGCGGATGACATTGCCTAAATATTTTTGGTCACTCATTAACACATTCTCATATAATATTATCGTCTTCTTCATCGTCTCATTAATTAAAGTATCTCAATATGTTTAAATTCATCATTAGATAGTAATAAACGTATTTATCATAGTTTGATTTCTGTGACAAACAGCTGTTAGTATATAAATTACCAGCGGCCATCTTTTTAACCCTCCGATACTGAGTAGTTAACTTTTTTGACTAATGGTTAGATATTTTACCATTGGATGCTCTTACCACGGATCAAAAAACGCATTTTGCTGATATTTAACTAATAGTAACGATTTTTTACCAATAGTTGAGTTAACTACGGATCAAAAAACCGGCCCTAAGTGAGCATCGGCTACTATTTAGGTACATGAACTGACTAGTATCTTTTTGTTGTAGGTCTTCCCCTTGGACAATGTTATTCTATTGCTGTGGATAATAAAAACTCCATGGTATATTTTGGCACGGGTAAAGGAATTTTTGCCTACAATTATGATTCCGAAGATACAAAACTTATATCCTCTCCGAATATAAAGCCAAACGAATTATTCGTGGATAAAGATGGTAACAAATATATAACAGAAAGTCCTGATGGTATAGAACAGATGTATTTATTGTCGGGCGAGAAAAAAATTCGATTCAAAACTTTGGAAGCCCTAAATGAAGTTGCAGTTGACGATAAAAATAATTTTTATTTCATCAGAGAAGAAAAACTGTTCGTTCTGAAATCGAATTTATCATTTCCAATACTCATTGGAAATCTTACATATGATGGACTTGCGCAAATCTCCTTCCATAAAAACACAGTGTATGTCGCCAGTGAAACGTTATTGTACCTCCATGAAAATGATACGGGCGCTCTAAAGAACGTAGATAATGTCCCAGGGAATGTAACTGCTATTGCATTTGATTATGCTAGTAATTTAGTGCTTGGAACTTATGGTAAATTAATCAAATATGACAATAAGAATGCCGAATGTTATCATAGAAATAATACATGATTAATAAAAATTCTATTTTAAAAGACAATCACTTTTAATTAATAATAAATTACATTAAATTCTACCTACTTAATTACAATCATGTAATGAGGGTCTACCTAAAGTAAAATTTACAGATGTTATAGGGACAGAGTCTATAACTGGATCACTTCAAATATGTTTTAAGAACAATATTCTGTAATTAGTAGACATTATTTAAAGAAATAGAAGAAATACCAAATTAGAATTAGATTGTGTTCAGTGGTTTAGACACTTTCAACGTTGTGGTTCCTTATGTATGTATAGCAAAGTCTTTTTAAAGTATGAACACAGTATTATAAATTTAACAAGTGTAGACTATTTTGATGAGATATTGTATAAGTTCTTACAGGCTACCACAACACACACATAATGACCTACAAATATACTATAAAATCACATTCTATAGACATATATTAGTTGTTACATGTAGTCCTAATTTAAGTTTTTCAAATAAAATGATTACTGGACCATAGGGCTTCAATGGGGTAAAATACTTTGGGATATGATTGGGAACGTAATTGACTGTGCCTGAGAATTTGGCAAAGCCATAGGTTGACTTGTGCTAGATATTGTAATTTGCTGTGTTGAATTCTGATGCACTAATTGCGGCTGCTGAGATTGTTGAGCCACAATCTGTTGGGCTGATTGCTGAGCAGCAAGATGCTGAGCTGACTGCTGGGCTAAATGTTGGACTGACTGTTGAGCTGCTAGCTGTGCAGACTGCTGTGCTGCCAGCTGTGCAGACTGTTGTGCTGCCAACTGTGCAGACTGCTGAGCTGCAACATGTTGAGCTGATTGTTGAGCAGCAGCTAAATGTCGCACTGATTGCTGTGCATATTGAGAGGCTTGATGTTGAGGCAATTGAGGTTGTAGAGCTGAGGTCTGTACAATGTGCTGCACTGCAGTCTGTGGTCCACTACTCAATAACTGCTGAGTAGGGGGGGCCAATGTAAGTTGAGCAGGAGTCACAGCCACAACAGTTTGACCTCCACCCATAAGAGTTCCTGAATCACTTACTTGCATTAATTGTTGGGCACCAGCACTTGTTACAATAAGAGCCCCTGAATTTCCCATTAACTGTTGAGTTGTACTAACTGTAAGAATTTGTGGAGCAGGTGTAAGCAATTGGGCTTGGGAAGCAGCTGGTGCTAAAGTAAGATTTGGTGTTGCAGCTGCTGGAACCAATGTTGGTAGAGGACCAGCTAAGCTTACTACAGGTGTTACACTCACAGTTGCTAATGAAACTGGAGCAGAAGCTCCATGTCTTGAAGTTATAACACAAGGTTGGTCACTCCTAACAGAGTTTGTTTGTTCTAATAAAAACTCATTCATAGATGTCAGCTGAATATTTTTCTCTGTTAAATCAGCAACTTTCTTAAGCAAAACACTTATATTGTCATGCAATAACTTAACCCTATGGTTTAATTGCTCACAGTTTGAACAAATGTTTGTTGTATGTAGTACTTTATTATCAAGCCCTGTATCCTGAAATGCATATCTTCTTAATTTAGCCTCTGGTGGTAAAGTATCATCTCTTAAATATGGTGGAGGTCTATCAAACATTGGTGGTGGTACTGATCTATTACAAATTAGGCCTATGTCATTAGATTTCTCTTGAGGTATATGTAAAAACTTGCATTCAGTATTTGAACAACTTCCATTACTAAAGGCTTGGCAAATTGGTAAATTGTTTTGGTCACGAGGAAATAAGCCAGTAGTGTAAAATTGCTCTTCTATTGCTGCAGTACAATGTAAAAATTTGCAATTAGTTCGAAAGCATCCTTTATTCTGGAAATCGTGGCAAAATTTAAACAATTCCTTAAGATGAGTTTTTGGTGGAATTTCGTGAAAAAATCTACAGTTTTCACGGTTACATCGGCCTTTAATGAAGTCCCGACAAAAATTGCTTGCTGCTGGAATTGAATTCTCAGAATCATCCATTGCATTTGACACATCACTTTTCAAGGATCCGTTACCAACCATTGTTCTCATTGTCAGCAGGTTAAGATAAGAATTATTCGATATCTAGATCCTAGTAGAGCTTTTCATTGTATAAGGATGTAAGTAATTAATCTCAATTAAATAGTAGTTGAATCCGCATTGTTTAATTTTTTTTAAAGTTTCGACACCCAAATTACATTTTTTTAATCACAAACTTGTTCATATTTCTATAAAAAAATTTTCTTTACTTCAATGTTCTCTATCACCTCTATATACTATGAAGTTATACTTATAATATTTGATCTACGCAAGCGGGATTCCGTTTCTTTTTTTATTCAAAAGATTAAAGAATGTTATCTACACAAATGATACAAGATGTATCAACTATCAAGTTGTAAACATATAACTATCTAACCTATAAACCTAATACTCAATCTATTTCCATTCCATTAATTATGCTAGTCTATCTGACTTGTAAATAAATCTGTGGTTCCAAGAGCTGTCAAAATATAATGTTGTCAATCAGTGTGACCAGATTTAGTAGATTTCTACTTTTTTGGTAGATTTTGAGGTACTGGCAACAGAATTTAGTATGTAAAAATTATTTGGTATATTTTAGTAGAATTCACGTTTATCAGTTATTCTAGTAGGTACTTTTTTGGCACATCGAATAAATGCGGGGTATTCCCCTTTCATCGATTGGGTGGTAAGTTCTATTGAATTTTCGTTATTTTCGTTACTATAAACCATTCGTTCCGTGACTCGTGAGCATATTGTGATTAGTGGGAATACCTTTACTGAGAATTTATATAATCGAGTATATAATGAAACGTAAATATACACAAATATATCGCGATGAATGGGAGCAAGATCCCTCATTTAAAAGTTGGTTGTCTAAATCTAGAGTAAACACTACGAGTGCTCATTGTAAAGCATGCAACTGTGAAGTACTAAGTAGAGTGGCATCTTTAAAGGAACATATGGCTACATCAAAGCATATAAAAAACATGAAAGGATATTCCGGCATTTCTAAGGTACGTAAGGTACTTACATTGATATGTGGAATGTAAGTCTTAGTTAATTATTTTTGTTAAAAAAAATTTAATACTTTCATCGTGAACCCGTATTATGTTCTAAACCTTATGATTTCCATTCAAAAACAAACTTTCGCTGTTTTAAGTATGTTTATTATCTACACATTTACATAACAATTATTATTATACAACTATGTGTGTTTATGCATGTTTATTTATTTAAATGATATATTAAAACTAGCAGACTCGGCCAAGCGTTGCTGTGGCTAAGGTTTTTGTTATATTACATAGTAGTAAACTATTCAAGGGAAACGGTAGGAGAACGTATGTGAAAGGTAGCTTATGTGAAACGTTGATACTTTTAACACAGCGCCATCTGTTAGGGGTAGGAGAACTTATCTTAAAGGTAGATGAAAGCTTATGTGAAACGTTGATACTTATAACACAGCGCCATCTGTTAGAATTGTATCAAATAATAAACAAATATTTTGCAATAAAATAATATTGCGACTATAATTTGAGATTTAAACTACCTTTTAATTTGGATCAAACTACACACGGTGTGCAAATTTGATTGATATCGGTTCGGTAGTTTAGGAGTCCATTGAGGACAAACATTGTGATACGAGATTTATATATATTAAGATTGCTTAGTTTTTGACTTTTTTTTTTGTCCTGCATACTTATTTTTAACTTTTTTGTTTACAGATTGATACGATTTTTAAAACATCAACTATTTCGGAAGAAGTAAAAAAAGCAGAAATCAGCATTGTAGCTGCATTAGTGGAACATAATATTCCTTTTCGCGTAATGGATCACGTAAGCGAAGTTATTTCAAGGGCATTTCACGACTCTGAAATCGCAAAACGTTTTTCCTGTAGAAGAACTAAATCTGCCGCAATTGCTTACAACGTCTTAGGCAATAACTTCGAAGAAAAAATGCTTGCAGAATTACGTCCAAGGCTGGAAAATGAAACTGAGAGAAGCCCAGTATTTTCGCTCATTATCGACGAAAGCACAGATGTCAGTACTACCAAGGTACTTGCAGCAGCAATAAAGTACTACTCAGAAAAATTGCAATCTCCACAAACAAAATTTTTGTGTATGGTGGACTTAAAAGGTGAAACTGCGCAGTATTTGTTTGATAGTTTAACATGTGCCTTATCTGAAAGAAACCTTAACATAGAAAATTTAATAGGGTTCGCTGCTGATACAACGAATGTTATGTTTGGCGAAAGGAATAGCGTGGTATCTAAAATTAGGGAAGTCAACCCAAACTGTATTTTTTTAAATGTATTTGCCACTCAACAAATCTTTCAGTAAGTTATGCATGCAAAAAATTACCTCGTTCTATAGAGTTGTTTGTCAAAGATGTTTATTCATACTTCTCTCACAGTAGCCAACGTCAAAGAGAGTTTGTCGAATTTCAAAATTTTACTGACACTCCAACTCACCATATGCTTCGTCACTATGATATCAGGTGGCTTTCTCTACATCAATGCATTCACCGAATTATAGAGCAGTGGTCAGCATTAAAACTTTTTTTCAAAATGAGTTTTTAGGAAATAAGAATGCAAATGCTACTTGTCAATTTATATTTGATCACCTTAACAGCGATGAAACAAAACTTTATCTTTCCTTTTTAGATTTTATATTACCCATAACTACAAAATTTAACGTTATTTTTCAAAGTGATCAGACGCTCATTCATAAAATTGACACAGATATACAAAACATGATGAGTTCCATTTTGAGTTGTTTTATGAAGATAAATTATATTAAAACTACTTCGCTTCAGTCAATAGATCCCAGTTCAAGTATGCATTTCCTTCCTATACAAAACATGTACCTGGGCACAAACGTAGCCATAACATTGGAATTATTAAAAGATGATGTTCGAATGAAATCTAAAATTGAAGAGTTTCTTAACAGATGTCAAGCATTTTTGATCGAGCTAAGTAAACAATTTCTCCAAAGACTGCCTGTACAAGATAATTTCTTGCAGGATTTGTCGTTTATCGATCCCCAAAAGGCAGTGTATGGTGAATTTCGAACTCTAATAAAAATACTACAAAGGTTTCCTAACTTAGTTACAACAGAAAATATGCAAATTGTTGACAACGAATATAGGGAATTAAAATTAGATGTTTCCGTGTCTAATTTATTGTCAACTTCGAGTTCAACTTCTGAAAATTTTATGGTGGATAAATTTTGGAGTGAGGTCAGCCAAATTTGCGATGCGAATAGCAAACCAAAATATGGCAATTTGGCCCGGTTTGTGAAGCAAATGACAATACTACCTCTGTCTAACGCCAAAGTTGAAAGAATATTTTCCGATATTAATAGAATTAAAAGTCAAGATAGAAATCGTTTTAATAACAAGAATGTTGCTGCAATTATGCATGGAAAAGAGGGGCTACGACAGTTGGAAGGAGGATGTAGCAGATTTGATCCTGACAAAAGTATGATCAAGCTAATGGACTCAAAACAGCTTTATGACAATATCCAACATAACGACGAAAAATCTTAGCTTTAAGTTTCATTTTATTATTATTAATTTAAAAAAAATTGTAGTAAGAATTAAATTAAAAAAACTTCGCTTCTTTAATTAATCTTTACTACTTTTATTATTTTATCGTTTAATCAAGAAAATTCATGTTTTACGTTGTAAACCAACAGCAAAAAAATATAATAGATTTTTTGTATTTTCTCGTTCCTTTCGGTAGAATTCAGTAGTTTTTAACCTCCACGAGCAGTAGATTCGTCAAATGAAATCTGGTCACACTGTTGTCAATTTAAAATTGAAGTTTTACCCGTATGCCAAGGTTGTTATCATAGAATAAAATTATGAGAAGGCTCTAAAATTTTTATAGGATTAAAATTTGAAGCTAGATTTCATGCCATAAGCACCACTAAGTACAGCCCCTCAACTAAAACGAAAATGTTTAATTCTCGTTTTAGTTCAGGTAGATATACATTTTTTTATATATAAATTCATTGAAAAACAAAATATTGCAAATTGCAATAGCCATTAGCAAGGATTACTTACATATATGTAATCTGTGAAGGAAAACAATAAACATACATTATCTAATTGCTATACTCAAATTCATCTGTGAATTGATATAATAAAGTATAAACATAAATAAGATCAACTTAGAATTCGTGACAAAATGGGTGAAATTATTGGTGATACATTTTTATCAATAAAATATAATATCATGATTTTGGTTTTGGTCTTCAAACATATATAACAACTGAAATGTTTTATAGAAATTTCTACAATACGAAACCACCAAAGAAGATTCTATAAGTTTACCAGTAAATCTGTGATATTTTCTGTTAAAGGAAATTCAGGATATGCTATGGTTGGGTTAGCCGATGAAATTGGATTCTTCAATATAGACCATTGGGTAATTATAACAATCTAGTTTCACAAACAACACAATATGTTAAAAAGACTTCATATTTTAATATACATTTAATAAACAACTATTTTATCAAAGAAGCAAAATGTAAAACACTAAAAGTATCTTCTTATAAAAAAGGTGTTAAAGTATTTGGTACAAAATATTGTGTGATCATTATATTCACATTGTTTATGTTACGAAACTAAATACCTTAAAGACTGAATGGTGTGCTCTGCCACTGATAATATTATAAAAGTACTTTTTGTACATGTTTATTGTATCACTATGTTGTTTTTTTTACCATTCAGGTTTTTATAGACAAAGAAGGTAAGACTGGAGTTAATGAATTGAATCAAGTAATTGTTGAAACATCAACACCTGGAATCTTGGAAGAGGATAAATTTCATAAGTTTTGCCTGACTTGGTATGGTAGTAAAATTGAATTGAGCAAATTTGGGGAATCAGAATTAATATTTACCAAAGAAATTACGAAACATAATTTAAAGTATGTCACATTTTTTGGTTGTAACCAGAAAAATACTTTACAATGGAAGTTACTATGTAAGTTTCTTTAAACAGAAGATAATGTTTTGGTTATGGTTTCTTAGTTTGATAACCAAGATAACATATAAATCAATTGAATATAAAATATTTTTGTTTAAATATTTGTATTTTTCAGTACCACCTAGAATTGAGAGACCTGTTTTAAAACCAATTATAGGTGGTAAGCTATATTGGGTGCCATATGATGGTAAATTGCCATATGGTGCAGTAATAGGTGGATATGAAAATGAATTTCTTTATATAATGAGAGCACCGCATGAGGGTTCATTAACTCCTGGAAAGTTTGTACCATCCATGAAAAGTGGATTTATAGGATGGGAAGGACATTCACAATTAAAAACAGTATTTGAGGTGAATAAGTAGAATTTTATATTTTACATTTTAGCTTTTTTTTCTTGAGCTAGTGAGTATTAAATATACAATATAAAAGGGAATATAACAGATTTTTATTGTTTCTAGATTCTCTGTGGTCACGATTGTGTCTGGGTACCAACAAAAAAATCAGTTATACCAGCTGGAGCTATTGCTGCAGGATTCACAGATTATGAGGGAGAGACAATGTATATTGGTCGTGTTAAACAGAATGGTCATATAATACCAGGTAAAGTAGCACCAACGCGTTGTGCTTGTTACTTTACCTATAGTGATAAAGAAGCCTATGAAAGTTATTATGAAATATTAGTTGGTCCCCACTCAAATCCTAGGTGCACAAATACTCTTGAGCCACCATTCAAAGAAAAATATGAATTTTATAAAGAAAAATATAAATGTGATGAAAATTTTTATATTTGATTATAGTGTGAAAAATATATTCAAAACTTGTAAATATGCAGATAAAATAAACTTTTTTTATTATGTTGCTGTTTTATATCATTTACGATCATTAGTAGTTATTAGATAAACACTCTTGCTTTCTCACGTTTTGTAGTTTTTAGTTTGTACCTCTATTAAATCTTTATATATGCAATAATTATGAAAATTTTAAATGAATTATGAAGTCCGTTTAGTGTTGCCATTTGCGAACACCCTATTTTGAAAGTGCGCTGTAGGATCCAAAAAAGAGAGATAGATATTTTTTCCTGAATCAGGTTCCAAGATCATTAGTTCGTGGCATATTACTATGGAGATATTGATATTGTACGTAGCATTTTACGTGGACAGATTAGCTACGCTGTACTACTACAAGTGAGTGTACTGTGCGCACAAACAAGACAAAATTCGTAAATTTAAAAAATGTAATACTAAACTACGGCTCTATATTACCGCCCTAAGCAGCTGATCAAAGTTTGTTCAAGCACCTTCCCTGTATTCAGTATGGGTGGACCGCCGATTCTTTCGTATTATGAAACTTGGAAATGGAGACCAATCTCCGATACACTGATGTGCTGCCCGACTGTATAAAACCGGCCAAATTTCAGCGATAAGGGTCCGCAGACGGCAACTTTAGCCAAGTATGGCGGTGATCTTCTTTCTTGGTTTTTAGAGTAAAACATTCACTTTACCTAATTGCCACCAGTTCTTGACTTAAAGCCGCTAGGTGTCACTGTTTAGGCAGACCGTTTAAATTGTTTTTGAATCTTCCGACCCAGCCAATTCTGAGATACAGAGTACAAAAGTGAGTAGAGGACAAATCTGGCATGTCCAGCCCTGCGATTCTGTAACTCACTTTTCGAACTCGCTCAGCGGTTATCGCATCGGCGGTCGCTCTCAAATCAGTCGTGAAGCAGTCATTTTATGATTTGGCATTCTGAAAAGCTGGGAGCTTATAGTTTATGAGAATGCCAAATCGTAAAATGACTGCTTCACGACTGATTTGAGAGCGACCGCCGATGCGATAACCGCTGAGCGAGTTCGAAAAGTGAGTTACAGAATCGCAGGGCTGGACATGCCAGATTTGTCCTCTACTCACTTTTGTACTCTGTATCTCAGAATTCTAATTACAACTATATACGGTACCTACTTGACGCTGGCTAATGCACAAACCGTGCCAGAGCCATAAAGGATAAAAAAAAAAAAACTATATACGAATCTCATATCTGTCAGGATACAGCATAATTTCTAGTCTGTGATAATAATAATGTTTTTAGGATTTCCTCTGGACTCTGGAGTCTGGTGTAATGGTGTTTTAGATGCTTAAATAAATAAATAATATGAGATAATATTATATTAATTATGTTCTACTACAAATATAATTTGCCTCATTCATGTGTGTTATTAAATATCTATTTTAATGGAATCTATAGATCTTAGAATCACATGGAGTGTTGGCTTTTACACATTTACAGTATCAAACACGTTACCCTAATATTATAAGATGAAGCAAACATCGCAGTTTGGTACGATTATCTCGTCTCGAAATGTACATCCTTATCAAACAACGGTAGTTCCTCGTAGTGAACAACAGTTTGCGACAGCATCGAGACTAAGAGCAAAATTCCCATGGGCAGAAGATGTAAACTCGCCAGCTGTAGGTCAAACTACTGATCGATCCACACCTGAACACCTCTACCATGTAAGACCATCTAAAATTTTTCTTGGTATTTATATCTTTTTTATAAAACAATTTTGCAATTAAATTACTTCTAGGTACCTCAATACAAAGAGACTGGGCTTCCTTCACCAGTTTATCATACCCCATATGGAACTGGCATGTGGAGTAACATAAGAAGAGGGGATATGATGTTACCAACAAGTACCTACACATTTCCAACATGTGCCTCTTCATTTTCTCTACACCCACAAGAGCTAAATCAAGTAATGGAACAGATACCTTCATTGCCATCAGCCAGCCCAGAAGTGCCAATTATTGGAGCATGTGGTGGACATTGCCCTGGATTTGAATATGTTTGCTATTATATTTTACAGGTATAACTAATATTTCTACCCATATTACACACTGCTTGGAACTGCATTGATTAATAGCTGTAGCTTAAACTTCATTGTATGTCGAGGCAGAATTCTAACTGATTCTGTTCACTACTCTCTCAACTCTCATTCCACATCTGAACTATTTCCTAAGTCATTTTGTGTTGTGCAAACCATGATGTGGAACTAGCTGTTGGTGAGGGTTTTTATACCAACACGGCTTTAGGTCCTACAAGTACTTATTCTTGAAAGAATGAACACTTGTGAGCCTTCTGGCATAGTGAGTCTTTGTGAGCGGTGCTACTTAACATCTGGTTACCCAGTATGTTAGCCCCATTTAATAAAAAAAAATTAATGAATTACTTTTATTATTTAAGCATATAGTTACGACTAATACGCTGTCTCATTGGTGTATTAGTGCTAACTATATTATGCTAATGTATTTCTTCTAGGTTATCTTTGTAGTGGGTATTCTGACTGGAATTTCATTGTGTATTGCTGGTATAGTCTTAAGAAGAACAAATCGTAATGGAGACCTAGGAGTTCTAGTATATATTGGTAAGTTTTTATAATTCTAGTCTCAAAGTAGATTATGCAAAATATATTTTGGTGGAATTTTTCAATTGTATCCAAAGGAAATGCACCCTAGTTGCTGTAAAACTTATAATAATAATAATGATCAAAACTACATTTGACAAAACACTAAAAATCATAAAAGTATATATGTACATTGATTGTATTCTATTGATAATTTTAGATAATTACTTGATCTGATACTTTAAATGAGTTAGATAACCTATTTCCTTAATTCTATCTATCTATTATTTATTTATTTGTTTAGCTATGTACAATAGAATTCAGATTGAGGCCTCCCTAGTATATCACTATTAGTCTTTACTTACTCCTGCCTAAACCTTCAAATCTACCTGTCTTTAAGATTTTGACTAGTTGTATTTTTTCATTAGCAATAATTCACTGTCAAACCATAGATAGCATTTGACATAATATGGGCAGATATTTCTTGCCTCATACTATGAATTCTATAATCAGACAACAACATGTAGATCAGACAACATATAGATTATACATCAGCGACAATTTGCAGGCTGCCTATCATCTTGTGTCTGTGGAGTGTTACTTGGAGTACAATGTTGTGTTCGAAGAGAGATAAGACAGCGGAAACTAAGGACTAACATGCACATTCCCATGCAGTCAATTCAGGTTTATGTTTGTATATACATATAAAATAACGGCTGCTTTGAATTAGATGATATTTTTAAATTATATGATATAAATCGGCTTGATCACTAAATAAGCAGTCCAGGGACTTATATTATGAATGGTAACTTTTTGATAGACAAGCCTTTTTACTCATTTGATAGATGAGTAAAAGTGTGTGTGTGCAGTTGGCACTCATTTGAAAATGTTTCGCTGATTATTTGTTCTGAATAGACCATGTAACTGAAGCAATCTTGGCACTTAATGCAGTTGAATCAAATGTAATAAGGATGTAATGTAATGGATTGCAGTAATACTTTTGTTTTGCAATACATATATTTATTTCAGGAAGTTCCTGCACCGGCTTTTCCCTTAATACCGTCCACAATACCTCGTAGTCAAATTTATAGGTAATATAAAATTAACTACTAAATAACTTTTTTAGCCTAATAAGTTCACCTCTGGATATTTATGTTCAATTAACTATTTAATTTATGTTTAAATAATTAGTGTAGTCCCACTTTTTACCCGCCCTCGAAAAACTTGAAGAAATTTTCACTGGACATGTATGTTTACTGTTAACATTTATTTTTCAGACCTACTACTTCATCAATATCCCAAGAGGATGAAATTTTAGGAGTTCCTTGGTGGCGTCGCACAAACAGAGACTGATTAGTTGTATTTTTATATTATTTATCACTATGGTATGTGTAACTGTATTTTTTCTAAGTATTTACCTTAATAAAAATAAATTTGAAATATCATGTCATTTTATTAGAGATGTTCCGGCCAAGAAAATCAGATTAGACGTCAGAACATTAAGCACAGCTGGTTGTGAAAGCGACCAATACATGATAGGTATTAAGCAAAAACTCAAAATGAAAACAACAGTTAGGGAATGTAGTATTAGACAAGAAATAATAGTCATTAACTTACTATATAACCAGATCCAGAAAATAATATTTAAGATGCTTTAAAGGCTTAGTAGTAGTCCATGACATAATTGGGGTATGGGATAAAATGAAAAACGCTGTCAGTAATAAAAGTATGAGTACTTCTAATTGTTGTATATCGCGATTATGCAGGTTCAAAATATTTTATTTATTTATAACCTTAAATTTCTAAGAGAACATGAAACAAACCATAGTTAATTTTAGCATGCAAATTAAATTCATATATTATGCCGCTTTGGACCTTTCCATAAATTCCACTAAAATCGAAAATTGTTCCGACCTTGCTCGCATTCTTATTACCATTTTGCAGCTTGCTATTGCAAATTTAAAGTAATATAAAATATTGTGAAGCTTTGACTTTTATTAGGTTTATAAATGAGACATTAGGTATACATTGAATCCAGAGACAATATGACAGAGTAAGGTGCTACGAATAGCAGCTCGGAGCTACGCTGTCGACTTTGCGGTAGTAACTTGTCTCTTGGCTGCGAACAAAGCGTTTTCGACAATACAATTACGCAAAAGCGGTAGTGCATGTAGAATACTTTTCGGTAGTAATATGGCTAGACCCCAAGGTAACGGCGCTTGCACAGCAACAGTTTTGTTGGTAGCAATTATGGCACTAAACCTTTACAAGAGAAGTCTGAGAAAAAAATTGTGTTGCCATCTTCAATGACATTCATAGCACGAGCAATTTAAGACCAAGCCTAAATAAAAATGCGTTTCAGCAACTAAAAAAAGAAGCTACTTCTTAAGCCCCTAGGGCAACACTGGTGCTAGATATCCCTAACTTACAAAAAGTAAAATCCTGAATCAGCATACGAGGGGTATAAAAGCAAAGGCGCTTCGCTTAAAGTCCAACATAGTTTTTTTTAATCTGGTCATACCAAATTGTAGCCCTCGAAAGCAGCGATAATAACTTAAAAACCATTAAGTGAAAATCCGCCTCAATTCGATTAAAATTCTCTTCGAAAAAAGCGTTTACATGCAAAACGGCTTAGATCCTAAATTAGTTAGAAGAAAATCCGCCTGTGTCTCAATCGACCAATCCGAAGCCGCTATTTCAAATTACTTTTTCATAGTAAGGTGACTGTGGCTTGCGTCTTATTATTTTGTGTTTTCGGGATATATTTTGTGTAATGGAAGAAAATATTCAACCTGCTCGTGCAGGACAAGCTAGTAAACGAGTGAGAAATGAAAATCAGTGGCAAGCAAGGTACTAATTCACTAGCATTTCGCCCGTTAGTAGTGTCTGCAGAAGCTTTCTCTAAGACATTTTTTTGTAGTTAATTATTTGTTGTTGTCAATAACAAAATTCCTATGCTTTAGTTGCATGTGACTGTGTGTCCTTTTTAATTTTACTATTGTTAATGGTTTCTTTTCATTTGCTCAAGGTATTCTGCATAAAATCTTCCGCAATTACCTGCAAATTATTAATGAGGCTATTGATGATGATATTCAAGAAAATGAGCCATCTTGCGATCCACCGACAGTTGATTCAAATATAATGATTTAATGAAGTTAAGTCCTTAAATAAAAATAAATGATTATTTGAGTAACTTGTTTTATTTTGCTATCAGTACATTCCCCCCATCACATTTTTCGAATTAAATAGTGAGATGCAAATTCGCTTCGATCCCAAGCAATGAAGAGCAAACATACTTCAGTCCAATGTTCAAATACATATGCACCTAAGTCCAAAATATATAATAATAAAATAATATACATTGAAATAATTTTTTTATTTTTATTTTTTTATAGAACGGGGGGCAAACGGGCAGGAGGCTCACCTGATGTTAAGTGATACCGCCGCCCATGGACACTCTTAATGCCAGAGGGCTCGCGAGTGCGTTGCCGGCCTTTTAAGAATTGGTACGCTCTTTTCTTAAAGGACCCTAAGTCGAATTGGTTCGGAAATACTTCAGTGGGCAGCTGATTCCACATAGTGGTGGTGCGCGGCAAAAACTGCCTTGAAAAACGCTCAGTTGTGGAACGGCGGACGTCGAGGTGATACGGGTGGAATTTCGTATTCTGTCTCGACGTCCGATGATGAAACTCAGCTGCAGGTATTAATCCGAACAACTCCTCTGAACACTCTCCATGGTAAATGCGGTAGAAGATGCAGAGTGACCCCACATCTCTACGCAACGCCAAAGGATCAAGCCGCTCGGAGAGGGATTGGTCGTCGACGATTCGAACCGCTCTGCGTTGTATACGGTCAAGTGGAAAGAGCTGGTACTGGGGAGCCCCCGCCCAGAGGTGAGAGCAGTACTCCATGTGGGGCGAATTTGCGCTTTATATAGTTGCATGCGGTGGCCCGGAGTGAAGTACCGCCTCGCCTTGCTGAGCACACCAACCTTTTTGGAGGCTAATTTAGCCTATCCCTTCACCGCGAAACTGAACGTCGTTCGATATGTCAACGCCAAGTATTCCAATGCTGGCTGTGGCTTTAAGAAGAGTGTTTTCGAAAAGAGGAGTAGCGACAAAGGGTGTTTTTTTAGCGGAAAACGCGCAAACTTGTGTCTTCTTGGGGTTAAATTGGACTAGGTTTTGTCTGCCCCAGTCTGAGACTCCACGTAGTAGAGTTTCGACTTCAGACACAAGTTTGTTCCGGTACTCATCAACAACTGCCCGAGAAATACCTGCCCGGCCAGTGTAAAAAGTATCCCCAGTGCTGTCATCCGCATAGCAATGAATGTTGCTAAGTTGCAACATATAATTGATATGCAAAAGAAATAGGGTCGGGGATAGAACACAGCCTTGTGGGACCCCAGCATTCACAGGTTTAAGGAACATGCTCCGTCGATGACGACCTTGATGCTCCGATCGGCCAGAAAGCTGGAGATCCAATCGCATAATTTCTCGGGAAGCCCATAGGCTGGAAGCTTCGAGAGCAGTGCTCTGTGCCACACCCGATCGAAGGCTTTCGCTATGTCGAAACTTACCGCCAGCACCTCCCCCTTGGACTCAATTGCCTCTGCCCACCTATGGGTAAGGTATACAATGAGGTCACCAGCTGAGCGACCACGACGAAAGCCGTACTGAGAATCGCTAATCAACTGGTGGCTCTCTAGATACCACAAGAGCTGGCAATTAATAATGGTTTCCATTATTTTAGAGAACAAGGAGGTTATAGCTATTGGGCGATAGTTGGACGGATCAGAGCGATCGCCTTTTTTAGGGATCGGATGTATCGAAGCGGTCTTCCAGCACTTCGGGACAGTGCCGAGCGAATACAGGTACCGGAAAAGGCGCGTTAAGACCGGAGCCAACTCAGGAGCACAAGTACGCAGCACTATTGGGGGGATACCATCCGGCCCGCTCGACTTATGAATGTCCAAGGAAGATAGTGCTTTGCGGACAGCACGTTGCCGGAATGTGATTTCCGGCATCGAAGAATCACACCGCGAAATGGTCGGTGGTGATCTTCCTTGGTCATCCAAAGTCGAGTTGGACGCGAAGAGACAGCTCAAAAGGTCGGCCTTCTCCTTCGCAGTGTGGGCCAGAGAGTCATCCTCCCTGTGCAGTGGCGGAATGGCGGGCTGACAAAAATTCCCTTGGACAGCTTTGGCGAGAGACCAGAAGGCTCGAGTCCCTGAAGGGAGCTGGGCCAATCTCTCGCCAAATCTGGCAATGTGCTCTGACTTTGCCTTAGTGATTTCCCGTTTGAAGAACCTGGAGGCTGAGTTATATGCTGTTTTAAGTTCGCTGGTATTGGCATCACGAGATTTCGCCGCTTCCGCCCATGCCTTAAAGCATTCTCGCTTTCGACGCGAGGCCGCCTTGCAAGAACGTTTAAACCAGGGCTGAGACTTGCCACCGATCGGCACCGCAGAAAATGGAATAAAGAGTTCCATGCCCTGCAGAACCACTTCGGCGACAGAGGCGGCGACGGAATCTGGAGCTTCCGGCGAAAAGCATATAGGCCCCCAAGGGTAGGACGCAAAGAAAGACCGCATCCCGTCCCAATCTGCTAACTTATAGTGCCAAATACGGCGACAACCCATAAAGCGGGGCCGTGAAGGGCGCATAGATGGCACAGTACTCCGGACCACACAATGATCCGATGAACCCAATGGCGGGTCAACAGAGACTTGATAGTTCTCCGGATGAGAAGTCAGCAGAAGGTCCAACAAAGAGGGTTTATGACCATCCACATCTGGTATTCGCGTAATCGCAGGGACCATTTGTGTCAGGTCGTAGGCTAAAGCAAAGTCGTGAAAGGATCTTCCCGCGTGATCGGTGGTTTCAGAGCCGAGCCAATCGGCATGGTGGGCGTTAAAATCGCCAAGTATCACGATTTCAGCGGTTGTGCTCAATGAGTCGGTCAGTTTCGGTATTTCCGCTATGGGACCTATACAGGCATGCGTAGAATCGCGGATGGTCATCGCAGTCTACGCGCAGCCAGAGGTTAGATAGGTCCCTTCCTTCAAGCGTCCCGAGGCGACGAGAACAGATATCCTCTCTGACGTACACGCAAACTCCCGCCCGCGGCACAAATGAATGTTCCAATTTGTACCCCGGGTAGGAGAGGTAGGAAGTATCAGCCGGGGAGGAAATCTGAGTCTCGGTAAGAAAGAGCAAGGCCGGCTTCGCAGTCTCTAAATGGTAGTGGACTGCGTTGATATTGGAATTGAGCCCCTAACATTTGTGAAGTCCACGGCGAGCGTGGACGGGGGTGCCTTTGTTGAATTGCTCCGTTTGCCCCGAGAACGATAACTGTTTTTGTTGAGCCCAGAATTGCCCCCCCCCAGAATACGAAGGGCAGCCTGTGCGTCCACCACCGGGTGCTGAGTGTCCCGGAGTTGGACGCCCAGAGGGGGATTCTCCACCGCGAGCGCGTGTGGTACCCCCCTGGGGTAGATTCTGTTTGTTCTGCACCTTCATATTTCATATGGGGGGATGTGCTCCGGGAGTCTCCCTCACCGTACGAAACGCGAGTACAATAAGGCGAACCTATTGCATCACTTCACGCCGGTTTTCTAAGAGACAGTGGTACTGCCCCGGTCGTGCCTGCCCATTTGGCTGAAGCCCGAAGGCAACAGCATGGCACTCCCACTATGAAGGGGTTGACTGATTGCGCTGATGAAATAACCTCTGTCACAGGTTATTTCACCAGTGGGCGATGGGGTCGTCACGTCCCGACGCCAAAAAAAATAACTAAACTTAACATAAACTAAAATATATCATTAAAAGGAGTCCCTTTAGGCAAGGTTCCGAAGATATACTGGCAGCGTTCCCCCTTTGAATTGCTAGACTAATTCTTTGTCTGAGGTAGCTGCCAGCTCTTCGGTCTCCTGTGATGTCGAATAACCTTTTTGAAATTTCTTTAAAAAGCCTAAAAGCGCTAGGACCCTACGGACCAAGGGTCTCGACACCGAATGGGACAAAATCATATTCTGAGCCTAGACCCCTGTACTTTCATGCTTTATTTTTTTCAGCACTTCACAAGCCGCACCAACTCTGTAGTTGGTTCCATGTAAATGGGAAGGGGCCAGCGTGTCTGTACAGGTTGCATCCCATACCAGTACCCGGCCCATCTTCCATGGAATCAAACACATACCGTCCGGTCTCTTGCCATCGTCTCTTGCAATACCACTCGGCTCAAGTAGACTTGGCACGTTGACGGTGGCAAGGGAACGGCGTATGATATCGTTAAGTGCGGTATGTCTCGAGAAGCGGCCTGCACTTTTTTGGCATGACAGGCCGTGATGTCCTAACTTGTCGACATCACTGCCACAGGGACATATATGAGGAGTGCAGACCGGAACCCCAAGCCGTAGACAGGTTGCGATTCGAAGCGTGTCAGGCTCAAGAAAAATTCCTGTATTAGACGAAGGGTAAGCGTGAAGCCAGTAGCCGGCCTCATGCGTACCCACGGCCAAAAGCCTAGCACGCGCCGAACCTGTACTACAACTCAAAAGATCGTCAAAAGTCATTTTGCAGTGTATGTCATCCCAGCTCCTCTGTGAATTTAGGATAATGGAAAATTTTGACCTGGGCATGCAATTATGAAAGTGTTTCTAGCTTCTTCCAAGCCAGCAATCTCAAAGTTTGAAGGGGATGCCCTTAAAATTTTACTTATGAGATTTGCTGAACTATGGACCGAAGATAGAAAGGCTGGTATAGCGACACTGGAAATTTTGCGAATCCCTAAACCACCATAACGGATGGGTAGGGAAGCTTGGGTCCAAGATTGCTCGTTCAGCTGCATATTAAGAAGTGATTCTAAGCTAATTTTGATTAAGTCGTCTAATGGTGTTAAAAGATCTGGGTGATTATTGATTATTATTTGATATATTTCTAAATTATGATAAATATAACGTGGATTTCATTACTTTCGGTATTGTTATTTAAATCGTCAGTTCTAATTAATGTACCAATAACAGAATCTGGCCAAAATAACAATTCTTTACACCACAGTAGAATATTGCAAATTACTCAGTTTAAGTGTTTAGTGACTGAAGCGCCTTTGCTTTTATACCCCTCAATTACGCCCGATTTTTTAATACTGGTAGTATTAGTATTAATTATTATGAGTACATAGTTAGGAGAGTAGGATTTTAATAAAAACATATATTTCATACACTTAAAATACTTTATTAAGCTGAATATTGAACATTTAAGTACATAACGTAACAAAACTAGATTATACAAGTACATGTAAATAAAATAATATCTTATAAATATTGTGTGATGTCTGATTGCACATTATTAGATATTGCAGAACATAAAGAGAGCTTACACCTGCTTACTACAGCTTATCTCTTACAAAATCGCCACAAGTTATTTAAATACCGATTTTAAATTGATATAATATCTCCTAACTTGAATAACGATTTGACATTTAGATCCCACAGATAATATCAAAAAAAATCGACAATAAAAAATTTCACTTACACAACCTCTAACTACCTTGGTATTTAGCAAAAGAAACCACGGCTAATTATAAGTATGACTTATATCTAAAAGGACGGTTCTAATAAAATAATTACTCACATAACATTAAAGTCTGCGCGGAAAGATAAAAGAAGTGAATCGAAAAAAAAATCATTTGCTATGCGTCATTTTATTTATTCATTATTATTAAGTATCAAATTAATTGTCGAACTATAACGTAATAGTTGTCAACATAGCAAAAAAATTATTAAGCACTGCTGCAACCTCTAATCCCACGACGGTTCTCTTTGCGCACAGACTATCAAATTTAAGAATAAAAACATTACAAACGGTAAATATGAAGATGAGAATAAGCGCCGGCGCGTTAAACGTCTCACATATGATTTGCAAGACCATTTTAAAAATAGAATTTGGATTATATGAAGCTCGAAATATAATTGCAATGCTTAATATTGCTTGTACTATCAGCTAATAAATATTAAAAACATAATTCGTGTTCGTAATTACCAAAGTTATTTCGTAAAAAAACAACGAAAATAATTAAGGAAACTAACCATATTGCATTAAGCATGGAGCAATATAGCTGATAGTACAAAAATGTTATATACGTACGAAAATAATAGGATATACAGTAAATACATTTTTCACCTACGTTAAATGTTACCAAGAATATTGTATGTCCATTTTAAATAGTGACCTATAGTTAGTCTAATTCTTAAATCTAGACAAGAAATGCTTAGAAGATCTATCTTATTCTGGACGACAATTTGGCCACGTGTTAGATCACGATTTTAATGAACGATGAAAACTTAGGAGGATGTTTACCGACTTAACGGTCCGTTTTAAACTGAACATAAAAGACACAGTAAACGGGTAGTTATATCGAGCAGGCTCACTCTGTAACTGAATACCAATGACGTCATTAGTAGAATGAATTATTGAAAATTTGTATAAGTAGAATGAATTACTGAAATATTGTGTAAATAATTGGAAATCGATTTTACAGAGCAGCTCATGAACATTTCGAATAAGTACAATTAAAAATGTTTAATAAAAATAAAATTTTCTATTTTGTACCGCAAAATGCATATATCTAACTTAATTGCTATGGTCTATTACCATAGAAAGAAAATGTGAACCATTTTAAGTCGACGTTGCAATAATTCATTGGAATATGTTATTTAAATTCATATTCGTCATGTGAATTGGTTCTCTAAACGTAATTTAAAAGTCTTGATTAGGGGGACGTAATACAGAAATCTGTTATTTTTAATTATAACATCAAATTTATGCTACGGACGGCCGCCCATCCAACATCTTGTCGCTCTCTTCGGCACTGCTTAAACTGAAAAACAAGAAAATAAATAAAAACGGTTCAACCACAGTTAATATAAGTTTATCGCTTTTATTTCGGGTTTTCAAGAAATTTTAATTTTAACAACAACAAGCTCAAATTGCAGTTCACCATAATTAAATAAAATGGGTTCAATGATTTGACCCCAGAACGGTAACTTTCTCTTCTAAGGGTACGGTAGTTAAATTCTAGGATTCCTTAATGACAATAATTCCTTGAAATATCACTTAACATGTTATAACAATGGCTTATGTAAATTGTAAACTATGGCATACTTGCTTGATGAACTATTTGTCGTTCTTATAACAACGTGACTTATATGAAACTCGTCTATAAAGAGAAAGGATTTGTGTGATCGTAACGAAACAACTCAAAAATTTCATAAATTCCTTCACCATCACAATGCTACATTATCCTTGAGTGAGTAATAGGTAATTTACTCACTCAAGGATAATTTCAAAAAAAAAAAAAGGACCTGCTTCAAAAGGCTCGGCGACAGGCCGCTCATACCTACCTAATATAAAAAAAAAACACAAAAGTCGAAAATTTACCTTTTCGGTTTGAAAATTGCACCAATTTTCTGGTATAAGTGGTCAAATATGATGTAGGGGAGGGTTTTTGACTTTGAGTCTCAAGCAGATGAAATGTTACTTATAAAGGTATTAATAAATGATTAAGCTACAACTTACAATCTTACATAACGAGTATGAACGCATAATAATATTTCCGACACGACGTGTATCACCACGAAAATTACATTATAATGATACCACTTTCTCTTATCTCGTTGCATCGGGAACACCATAAACGAAATATCTTAGACACTTATAAGCTAGTAGTCAATGAAAAATATAATTGGATATATCGTTTAAGTGTAACTTAATCTTGTAAGGTGACCCAGATATTCATTTTACTGAGTGACACTCTGGTGCTTCATTTATGTTTTAAAAGATGTTTTCCAACCAAAGTGTTTAGGGATGAAATTTATTTGTATACTCTAATAACTAACATATATTTTTTAGAAAACTTTACATATTTATCATAAAACATATTACAATTTAGAATTAGATGTTAACTTTAAAACATTTAAAGTCTAGAAGCGTTTAAAAAGTTTTAAAACGAATTGCGATTTAGGCACATATGTTGTTTTGACTCTAGTCCATTTATTGGCACCGAATCTTCTATTTGCTTAACTAAAATTGTATATTATATATTATTATCATAGTAATATTCGTAGGTAGCCAAGCTCAAGCGTTTTACACTCGACATAGTTCTGTAGGCTAGTACCATAATCGGTGCAGTCGATTGAACGATCGACTATCGCATGAAGGGCTTCATACTTTTACATTGAATGCTCATTACGGACACAGTATGGCATATTCTTACCATTCCTTGTTATCCATAAGATTACGCATCTCATCATCAGGTGCGGGCGGTGCGTCCCTTACAGGTGCGTACTGAGCTGCTACCAAGGGATCAGTTGATGGGTTGAGGGCGGTAAGTGCTGCCGCTCCACCAGCCGGAGCCTCCTTACCACCGCCCCAACGAGCAGACCATGCCCAACCACCTACACCTGAAATAATAAACGTTATTGGTTACTTTTCGACGACCCACAGAATATAAACAAAGAGTTTGTGAAACAAAACTCGCTATTGTTACCCGAGAATGGAGCATGATAAAGAGACCTTTAATTTTTAAACATGATTTGAATTATCGTGATTTGACTTCAATACAATAAAATTAATTAACAAAGCTTAGCCCTTTTTAATACTGCATACTTCATATATATTCTTCTATACCACGTAATGTATACTGGATATGAAAAACATAGCCTTCGACAAGTAGATAGACAAAGGATTCCATATTTCTCTGTATATATTTAGTACATATAATAATTTGAAGAATATTCCGCATTCGCGTTCGATTATTCTATTATTCCCTAAACAGAAGTAAGACAATTATTTATTTATAATAGTATATAATTGTCACTTGCTTCTGCCCTAAGTTTTTGTGAGAAATAAATAAAGATTATATATTAGATTATCTGCCTACTACTTTATTTAGTGCCCTACATAACAAGCCTACGCCACCCCACGCATTCACTCCTACATGTAATCGTATGCATAGAATATTGCAAAAGCCAACCTTCTTAGCTCCAAGGCATATGCTTAGTAGTGCTTTATTCATAGTAAAAAAGTACGTGCGTACAAAGTACACATGTCAAAATTGAAACTTCTTTGTAAATTAATTATTACTAAGGTAAAAGCCCCAATAGATGACCATGTACCAGTATATGATCATTCCATGTATTTGTTGTATACCTATATTTGTGAATTGAAAAAGAAAGAAATAAAAATACTAATAATTCATAAATTCTCTTTACGAAATTTTTATTTTAAAAATAGAATATCTTCATGCTACGTTTGTCCTTTCTCGCTCTCTCTCAATCGCTCTCTTCTTTTCTTCGACAAAAACGCAGCACATCTTCGTAACGCTAACATTATTATTATTGCGTTTAATCCATAAAAATTTCACCCTCATGCGCCTAAAGAAGTTTCATTTCGAAAAACATAGTTTTCAACTCTACTTAATAAGGTGACATGGGACTTTACAACCTCGACATGTTATTGTATGAAGTGCCATGACCTCCCAATGGGGAAAAATTAGTATTATTTTCTGCGACGTGTTGGGGCACAGACGGGTATCGACTTTCGACTCGCGATCTTATTCTTAAGCATGGGCGTTGCACACACCATTACGTTATTAATACTACTGTCAATATGTTCCCTGAATATACTATCCCAAACGTTGTGTAGTATCGTTATTACTGCCTAACGCGTAGTAGAAAAGATACAAGATTACAATATCTTATTAGTCATCAAGTTTTAAAACATAGTAAACGTTGTTTTGCCATGTATATTATTTTTAGGTATTTTTTTTAGTTCAATAAAAATAACTAACTACAATAATAAACAACAGGGGTTGATCGTAGAGAGGTGAAAATTAAGGGTTGTATGTATTTTTGTATGCTGTATCATAAAAAATTATAACAATTTTTTTTTGTATAATATAATATTGGGATGGACACCCCTTATCGCTTCGGGGTTTGAAAGATAGATAGTAGCCGATTCTCAAACCTACTAAATATGCTTAAAAAATTCATAAGAATCGGTCGAGCCGTTTCGGAGGAGTATGGGAACGAACATTGTGACACGAAAATTTTATATATTAGATTATATCGGATAGAGATAATGTTCGGCCTTCCGCCCATACATTTTTCACTTCCGTTGATACACGATCGTGTTCACAAAGCACGTTCGACGTACGGTCACAGATTCAACAATGAATAACTAAATGCGTAGCAAACCGCTTCAAAATAACACGGCCATTATTTAAAATAGATTTCATACTTGGTCAAGACCAGTACTGGTTAACGATTACTGCATTATATGTGTTGTATGTGGATAGTGTAGGAGCGAAATAAGGATTACATAAGTTCAAATGCTATTTGACCGGCTACTGTTGATTCAAGAACGGGTTTTAAGACTACATACTTTTTTGTACGTTCTAGGTGTGACATGTCTAGACATTACATATAAAATCTTACCTTCTTTAATATCTATGGATATAGTATTTTTAAAAACGAATTCCAATTTTTTAATTTTGAAACTGAGTCATTACTTATACGCATACATTGGACAGTATTTATTTTAACGGTTTTGACACTTATTGCGTTTTTTTTTATATTTTTACTTGCATAAAATAAGCATGTATAAGAAAAATGAATTTAGACATAAATTCACGTGTCACGGACGACTGGAAGTTGTAATTAGCAAGCATAATTTTAATGTCACGAGTAGTATATCAAATCGCGTTGAATGTTATAGTGCTATAATCAAACTTCGTGTGTGTATGTCAGTAATGTGTTAAGTATACTGTAAAGCTACAAAACAAAAACATGCATTTAAAAGATTGGACAGTTTGCAAATGTCACTTAAACATGTCACGCTACGGTCGAGGTCAGTGGTTGACATACAGCCTCCAAAGGTTTTTAAGTAAAAATCCATGAAATCGGAATACCATGTTTGTAAAGGAAATATTTAAGTTATATTAACATAATTGGCAATGTTCAACTGACGGGTTGGCGAAGGGCGAATGATATCTCTTAATAATGATTATATTATACAAGATTATCTCGAACGACGCTTATATGTCTCTATTAACATTATGTAGATATTAATTATAGGTAATGAAGAGAGCATTAAAAGTCCAAAAACTTGGCGATTAAAAAGAGTGGTGGAGACTTTCTTGCCAGTTCTTCTCGCGCGCTCTAGACCCTTGGTTTGGGAACTGGTAGTAATATAAATTTAATTTCAGTAGTAATTGTTTTTAATATTGACGTTTATAAGTGTACATAGTTACCAATATGAATAAATGAATTTTGATTTGATAACATTGTTTGTGATAACACTGTAATCGAATAAATAATGTGTGAAAAATGGAAATCATAATATATATTAGGTATAATATTAAGTTCCCGCTACTTATATTTAATTAAATTTTGCCAATTACGTTTCAAGTTCTATAATTGAAAAACAGTCATATAAAAACAGCTCAATAAACCTCTGACTAATCAGTGAACTAAATTCAACATCGGCAAAACGAGTTCCGTTCCATATAATCAGTGAAATCAGGATTTAGACTATAAATTCATAGTCGCGGTCAATTAGCACTTAGCGTGGTAGTAACAAAAACAAGATACGTCAGTGGCATAAATACGGTAGATACGAAGTACGTATCACGACTTATTTAGTTTTGAGTAAAGAAATCCCTGCCTTACCTATGGCTGCGAAACTTGGGCACTATCTAACCAGCACAGGGATATGCTAGCACAGTGCCAAAGAGCCATGGAAAGAAGCATGCTGAGCAAAAGAAAATTAGATAAACAAATAAACGCAGAAATAAGAGCTAGAACAGATGTGACAGACATTCTCACTAAGATTGACAAAATGAAATGGAGATGGACGGGTCATATGCTACGGAGCTCCCATGAAAAATTGAGCAAAATAGTGACGGAATGATACCCTAGAGACGGAAAACGAAGAGGTCGACCACGCAAGATATGGGAGGACGAACTGAAACTAACAGCAGGCTACAACTGGAGAAGAGTCGCAAACGATAGAGAACAGTGGAAAGGGTTAGAGGAGGCCTTTGCCAAGAGGCACACCGAACTCTGAGATATACTGGAGTGAAAATATATTAAAGTTCATATATATAAAATCACAGAGTTTCGGAATTTAAAGGCTATATTATTATTATTAAAGAAATCGCTGGCTTTCGAATCGCTTATCCGAATCGCTTCATGTGAACCTATAAGATTTTAAGAATATGTCCAAGCATCAGATACTGATCCAACAACCACCAGAAATACCTAAATACCGTTTTAAAAACAATGAGCGAAGATTTAAATGAATTGAGAAACTTCTTTTTTAACCCTTTTATTTGTGTAAATATTACGCAGTTTTGTATTAATAATAAAATAATAAAAACTTTATTTATGACAAAAGGGTTGTGAAATAGACCCTAAGTATGAGTGAATGTGTGTGTGTGAATGGGTGAGTGTAGCTGAGAGTTGTTATGATCGTGCGCTGTGTCTGTGTTAGTGTTCGGAACCTCATCGGATTATCTAATAAAAAAAAAATATTAATAATTATTTATTAGATAATCAGGATATAACTTTGAAAGCACAGAGCTCTTAGGCTTAGCATAATCATTCTTTATACATCTTTTCCGAGTATTTCTTATAATGTATATTGCACTTTGTTAGAGATATTTTCCTTTTATATTTACCTGCGAATAATAAGCCAAGACAAAGTATGACGCCGCCTGCGATGAGTGCGCCGATACCGTTATCCGCGTCTTGTGGCGACGGCGTGGGTGCAGGCGAGCTTGAATATTGCATACCCCCCGCAATTAGTAGCGCTAGACCTGAAAGGATAATTAGTATTAAAAAAATATAATCTACGTACTTGGTAGTAGCCGAGACAGATTGGTTTTTGCAAGTCTAGGTTTCATGTTGTTATTGGGTTAGTGACCGTGTACGGAGTACTATATTCTTAGATAAATATAAAAACAATTTGTCGTAGGCTTTATCGACTAAACCAACGGCTTGTGTTTATATAATCTGTACAACTTTGATTCCCAAAGTGGTCCAAGGCTCCACGGGAGACTCGACGGTCTACGTTGGCGAGACAAAAAATTGGGGGTACACGATTAGTAAAGCCTTCCGCTTAAATTACACAAAAAAAATACAACAAAAGAAAATATACTATTTTCCTTTTTAACTACTTTAAAATAAGAACTGATTGAATTTTTGCGCTGTGAGTAGATGTCAAAAATGTAAAGTTGGATGAAATCACTTTTTAATACGTACGAACTCCATGGTTAGATCTAATCTCCAAATTTTATTATCGACTGGAAATATTTTTGAAATATTATGGTCTATGAGAAAAAAAAGTTCGGGAGCTTTACACGAACCTGAATTTGTGAAAAAAATATTCAGGGGGCAAAGGATCATGCGTCACTTAAAATGACAGGCTGACAAATAAAATTTAGGAAAGATTAGAATAACTATTGAGTTTGTCCGTACATAGTAAAATCTAAAAATACACTACACAAGTCAATTCACCTTGACGGTGTGAGCGAGCCTCATGGCGTAATGAATATTTAATAAACAAAGCTGAAGTAGTTGAGGTATTACTACAACTTCACCTAAGGGTAATAGAGAAAAGAATATTTTGTATAAAAAATATCACAATTTATAGATAGTCCTTGTCCTTGTCATAATCATAGAAAAATAAGCATATTTTTTTAAAATGCCATTTATGTCTTTTGGAAATTTAAACAGATTTTTTGCATTGACATTGAAGTTAGGATATGTATCCGTTAGTTTCCTTGAATACAATACTTTTATGAAAATTGCTCACATCATCAAGTTTATTTTTGAAACTAGCCCTGCGGTTACATCAGCAAAATAATTATTCAATTCGAACTAACTGGTTCACTACTGTGACCCTGCGATTAGTACGTTCAACCATCCAAACGACCGATTCAGCTTAATAATTAGTAAAGATTTATAGTAAAAATTGTGGATCTTTTCTCCCTTCAGATTCAAAATCATACTTCAATCAGCGTTCAGGCTCATACTATAGGAATACCTACAAGCAATGGCACTACTATATGCTCATGCTGGTGTATTACTTAGCACTGATTTTAGCATTTTTTTAATTACCATAGTATTTACATAGCATTAATTTGTTCAATATGAATGGTTCATAATATATTTGTTTATTAAGTCCTTTAAAATGACATACCGAATTCCTTGAAATCGTAATATTATTGATTTTAGCGTAAAACGAACTCGGTGACCAATTTTCATAGTTTTTAAATTGGTAACAACGCCTGTGTATAACGGATAAAAAATAAATAAATCAGTGGCGCTACAACCTCTTTAAGTCTTGGCCTCCGATTTCTGACTCTGTTTCATGATCATTTTTAAATCTAATAGGCAAGTAGGTGATCAGCCTCCAGTGCCTGACTCACGCCGTCGACTTTTTGGGTCTAAGACATGTCGGTTTCCTCACGATGTTTTCCTTCACCGAGCAAATGTTTAATGCGCACATTAGAAAAAAAAAGTCCATTGGTGCACAGCCGGGAATCGAACCTACGACCTCAGGTATGAGAGTCATGCTGAAGCCACTAGGCCAACATATTATATACTCATATATATATATAATATATATATAGTGTATAACGGATAGTGCCAACTAAGTTAGAAGTAAGACACTATAAGATTATTACTCCAAGTTAATATTTTGTACAAAACGACGCCAGGTCAGTATATGACCTAGTCGGAAGATGGAAAATGGAACGCTATGCTTAATGGATTGGGATCGATCTTTCCGACGGATTGACCCCGACGACCGCATACGAGTTTTATTCAAGGTAAATGCTATGATTCATAGCGGTGTCTCGTAGAAAAACTAGTTTAATGGATACATAAGTCGCGTAGTTCTTGCTGCTTTTTTAATTTACACAATTACACATTTTAATTCGGCAAACAAGTATTTTGAGAACAATATAACCGAATTCGAAGATCTTTAGCCTTTTTCGAGGTCGCTTATAAATGCGACATTCGTGACGCAAGGAACAAAATGTTGGCACATATTGTGAACTTCGAAGCAAAACATTAAAGGGTCGTTACGGAATAAAAAATCGTGCGCCGAGGTCACTTCCGTGTTACAGCGAGTTAACAAAAAAAGCTTTAAAGAAGCAGAAAAGTGACTAAACAATAGAATAAGACATGGCAATAGCAGGAAAAATAGTATGTAATTGGTATTTAAGATACGTCATTTCGTTACTTACATTATTTTTGAAATTTTCTAATCACAAAAAGTAAGTGGGTAGATAATTATAAAAACGTTATTACAATAAATATTTTTTAGGTTTGATTAGCTATAAAATTTATATTTGAAATAAAATAAAATTTAAAGAATTGTTTTTGAAGTTATTTTATCATTGCCTTGGAGATTTCGTGTCGTATTGGAGCGGGTAGTAAGTAGGTGGTGGTGGTAGTAGGTGGAGAGTTTTCGTCGAGTTTTATGGTAATATAAATTTTAACACAATTTACTACTACGTTTGAGTAAACTTTTTGTTACTAAATATGATGCAACATGATGAAAAAAATTATAATTACATGAAGTCACTAAAACTCCTGAAAATATATATTTTAGTCTTAATCATAATTTCATAGCCTATTTAACCGATTCTTATAAGTTAAACCAGCCTCGGCGTAGCTTTCGTATAATCATACCAATCACTGAATACGAGAAGGTCATCCAACTCGTCCGCTGCGTCACGTTTCCGTAGTCCATACAGTACCTCTTACTTCCAGTTTTACATCCACAAGGATAATTTATTCGCATAATAAAATATTACTACATCATTATGTGTGGCAAGATATCCATAGTGAAAATAATATTCAAATTCCAAATATATAAACAATAGAAAGCATTTTCGTGAGTAAATGAGTAAATGATTGATTGATGATTGAGAGTAAATGATTATGTCCTTCTTTATGATAAAATAAAAGAATTTCACATTTTAGAAGCAAGTTCCAAAACTATACAGATAATAATCAGTAGAATAGTGCGGCAGAGGCTAAAAAGTAAAATTTTGTTGATCCATTTATGCTAATACTCAATATGAATGATGAATGCACAAAAGAATAAATTCGACTTAAACCTAATATTAAAAGGGCAGGTAATATTAAAACCAGGAAACTATGAACTACCTTAGATTATGGTAGTGACCATTTAAATGACCATATATTCATACACCGTCTCAGTGAATATGATTTATTGGCTCTATAAAACCATTTTATTAATATCATTATGACATAATTAAGGTGAAAAAAAATTAATTAACCCTTTTAATTCCTTATTATAATTCATTAATATTATGTTTTATTATATTGAATTTTATCATTCTAATTTACAAGTTTCCACTTTACTAAAAGCTTTTTCAACATATTTTTACATCAGATAAAATGGTGATTATTAAATAAAAATCTTATTAATCAATTAAAAATTTTAATTTTGTAAATTATGTATTGTTATAAACTGTTTCTTAATATATTTTATGTAATTACAATTGTAAAAAGTTATATCATTAGCTTTAATCACAATAATGTTTTAATTAGGGAACTAATGTGTGTTAATATGATATTAATAATTGTCAATAGATCACTTGGTGGAAACTTGTAAACATTAGCTAATTCTAATGCTTAGACTATGATTTGTCAAGTCCTATTAATAGTGATTACTGCTTAATGTGAATGTAGATGGTATGTAAACTGAACAACCTAGATTCTGCGAAACAAAGTCTCCTTTTATAATCTTGGACTTGTTATTACAAAATGTGGAACCATGGTTACAAATAAATATGTATATATCAAAGAACAAATTTAATAATATAAATCACTTCATATTATGTATCAAATTACTTTATCAGATGTGGTCAACCAGACTTAGACTAAACCACAACATAAGATAATGTTACAGAGTATATATAGTATTTAATAAATTCTAGATGCTTCTAAATTCTTTATTTTTACTATCACATTAATATAGGAGATTAACGCTTTTGTTTTCATCATCATGCAACAAAGGATGTCTGCAGTAACTGTACTGTAGCGCACATTGTAACTTTGAGAAGGGTAATAAATATTGTAGACAAAAACTTTTACCTTCCTCATGCCTAATTAAATAATTATCATACTAGCAAGCAGGAAAATGTAGTTTTTGACATTTAGACTTGTGAATTAAGTGTAAATAATGGCAGATAATTTTAGAATCAAATGGCAGAAAGAATTTACGTGTCTTGTTGGACGTGTTCTTGATAGACATAGATATCAGTCACCAGACTGAAAGGAGAGTATTCAAGTTTTAAAAGAAAATTATAAAAAGCAAATTATTCTGGTATGCTTGATACCTATATACATGATAGTTGCACCAAACTTAATGTGAAACTTATTTCTTAAGAATACATGATAACATGATTCTTATAGGATTTTTAAAGACAATCTTATAAGTTTAACAAAAAGTAATATTTAACTTACCAATAATGAAGAGTGTGCTGCCTAGAAGACACAATGCTAGCCTGATACAGACCGCCCGGTTCAGACTACTTGTCACCCTTCGTGAGAAATAGCTGATAGGGCAATTCCAACGCTGGTCTGTTGGTTGTTGCTCATAAGTTACAGTGGTCGGTTGATACACGGCACTCGTCGGCATGGTGGCTGTTTTCGTTATTATATTCACAAGAGCACTTCACTCTACCACAAACATCACAAGAATAACTAGTACTGAGAAATAACCGAACTCAACAATGAGTCTAGTTTGTGAAATGTTTGTTAATACGTCTAATATTAAATAGGCTCGGCGTCAAATTAATTATTAAACGTTTTTGTTTAAAAAATATTACACATCGACGCAGCACTCAACAGCGTCCTACCGCCCGCGGATAACGTCAATAATTGACACTTCAGTCTTCAACTTAAATTCCAACACAATTCACATTGTGACATTACACTCAACCGTTGACATTTGTCGAGCGTATTGGCCATTGACTATAGAAACTTAGTATCGAGCAGGATTACCAAAAGATTAAAATCATAAATTTTTACTTGAAACTGGCATAAAGTCAAAACTATTGCCATAATATTTAAAAAAAAATCATAAATCAATATTTTGCTCTTGAGATAGAATCGGCGCATGCCTTGTACAGTTCATTTTGCCTTGCAAGTTGCAGGATAAAGTCTTTAAATAGAAAAGAACTTGGCCAATCAGTCACCGTCACATTGACCCAAAGTGACACACACCACTTACATGAGCCCAGTAAAAATTAACAACTACTTAAATGTACTTATACACTAGAATAAAACGAGGATGATATCGTGCAAAAATATTATATTTTCCATTACAAACTACGTTTAAACTATCTATTAAATCATTTCATATCACTAACAGTCATACAATACTAAATATTATTACTATACTAAATTAAAACAGAAAGGCACTCATCCTTGTTATAAATATTGTTAGAAGCATGTAAACTGACTCCCCACATTCATTAATAGTCAACTTATTGATAAAAAATGGAATAAATTGTTTTTTTTAAATATACTTTACAAATTAAACATAAGGCACCCCTAGTATGCTTTACATTTGATTGAACATTAACAGATCGTACTGTGCTTTGTACTAAATTAAAACTTATTTACAAAATAATACATTTTTTAAATATACATAACTATAACATAATTTTGACCAACAATGTTTATTTAACATGTTCTGGAAAATATTTAATGACCAATAAATTATTTGACACAAAGCCATAAATTTTCAGTTGATTTGTCAAGATAAATGCTATATACTAATCCCCTTATTAATAAATACTAAATCAGTTATATTACACTGTTTTATTCATAACAATGCTGTATCTCATCAAACATCACCGGTTTAACATGTTGAACAAGTAGAGTGAGTTAAGCTAAAACAGACTTTTTAGTTTCTAAGTATAAGGGGTTACATCTAGCAACCCTTATTAGGGATCCAATAATTATTTGTGCACAAGTTTAACGCCCTTCTTCCCACCTAAGCAAAAGCAGATAAAGGTACGAAGGTAGAATTAGGAAGTAAAATTCATCAGGAAACCGAATTGCTCTTAGTAAAGCGTATATTAATGGTCAAATGTCATAATCAAAATATTATGACTGGTAGACTAAGACAAATAAAATATTTTAATAATTAGTAAATAAGTACAACTTCTAAGCACATAAAGTAATACTGATCTAATGGTCAACTTGTTAAATATAATTTAATAATTTGAGAATATATTTCAACTACACTTGAATTCGGTTAAATAATTGTGATCCTCTTAATAAGGTAATTTTTCATCTTAATCCTATAAAACAGGGTTGAATGTATACTGTATACTTATTTGAGCATGTAAAATTAGTTTAAATTGTGCACATTATAAAATGTTATTCTTAAATTATTTAAATAAAACGCTGAACTTTATATTATGCAAGCAGATGAATAATATGCTGCTATTTTAGGCTGCTTTGTACAATTCTCTATCTAAATGGAAGAGCTCAAGATGTAATTTAAGTTAAATTATTTTGTACTGCTTGATAAGAATTTTTTATAAGCCGATATTCACTGACGTTGAACAGCCCTAACATGTTAAATTATAAACATCCTGTATCAGCAAACCTTCAGTTTAATTCGGTAAAGCTTAAATCAAAAACGTCATTATTAAAAATTTTGTCATGTCAAATAAATCTTTCAGTCTCTATATATCTCCAATTATAAATTCGATTATTCAACTGCAAATCCGGCTGTTTCTAGAACAGCCTGAGTCAGCTTATCGTGTAGTTTTTCTTTAGTGGGGTAAGACGGTAGATCCAGGCGGTTAAAGCATGTATGTGCTTTTGGAAGCGAGTCTGGGGCGGCATCCGCCACTAGGTGTAAGGTGAAGAGGCGTGGCGCTGCCGCCCCAGTCGACCCTTGTAGGGCCCTGAAGCCAGCTAGCGGTACCCGTCTTGACCCTGTGACGAATTGGAGTAACCGTGCCCTCATTTCAGCGTCAAACTCCTCAACTATTTCCCAGAACCAATTGACGATTGGCGCGTCTGGGTTCACGTGTTTAAGGCGGGTGTGACGTTTCCAGTCCGCCGGGTCTAAATCGGCCCTTCCGGCTAGAAGCGGCTGTAGGTCTCTAGGGGATAATGGTCTCAGGAGCTGTGGAGGGATTATATCAGCTAAACCTCTTTGCAAAGCCAGCCATTGGCGTTCCGCTCCACGCGTGAAGCGGTGGGCAACGTATAGGCGCACGTAGTCGCGTTTGTTAGTGTCCGTGACCTGTTCGTTGGTTCCCCCTGGACGGAGTTCGACGCTTCTTACGGCCCCGAAAGACGAACATTCCACGGAGAATGTTGTATCTATAACGCCTGATATGCTATTTTCCCTGAAAAATTAAAAATTATTAGATAGTATAATCTTATATATAAAAGTCTCGTGTCACAATGTTAGTTACCATACTCCTCCGAAACGGCTTGACCGATTTTTATCGAATTTTATATGCATATTCAGTAGGTCTGAGAATCGGCTACTATCTATTTTTCATACCCCTAAGTGATAAGTGGTGTCCACCCCAAAATATTTTATTTTTATTTTTGGACAATTTTTTTATAATACAGCATACAAAAATACGTACAACCCCAAATTTTCAACCTTCTACGATCAACCCCTATTTTGTATTATAGTAGATAGTCATTTTTATTGAACTAAAAAAAATATTTCTTAGAAATAATATACATGGCAAAACGACGTTTGCCGGGTCAGCTAGTAAATATATAGGAACGTGCCTAATATATGAGCTACTTATTAAAAAAGCGCAGCCGTGCGAGTGACACGCGTATAACCTAGCACGAGCTTATCAAGACAATCTAATCATGTCGAAGTGTGACCAATGTAATAAAACGTTTTCTAAATCGATGCCCGGATGTGAATGTGCCCGATGTGAAAAAATGGTACACCTAAATACCAGATGCAGCGGTCTTACGAACAAACAGATAACTGCATTAAAGGCGGCCCCAAGCCTAGATTGGACTTGTATGGAATGCCAGCATGAATCCCCGAAGCGAAACTCCTCTTTGTTTCTAACAGAGGATGCAGAGGAGGATATACCTATGGACACTAAGGGGCTAATACATAAAATCTCCAAGGAGGTGGAAAAAACTATAAAGAAGGAAATAAGCGAACTTAACCAATCTCTGCAATTTCACAGTACGAAGTTGGATGAAGTATTAGGTTGTATTGATGCCTTTAAAAATACCATAAAAGCTTTAGAAAGAAAAAACACGGAACTATTACAAAAAAACAACAATCTCGAATTGAGGGTAGGCGTATTGGAGCAGCGTTTCCATGAGATGGAACAGAAGAAACTTGCTAATTCTATAGAAATAGCAAACGTCCCCCCTGCGAGCGAAGAGAATGTGATAAAATTAGTTGAAAATGTAGCATTAAAACTTAAACAGCCCTTCGACGGTATCCGTAACTCAATGCGATACCAAGGTAAATACGACCAACCCGGCATTATACGAGTTAAACTTACTGATAAAGCGACCCAAGAAAAGTGGATTAAAGCTGCAAAAACCATTAAAACTATGGTGGCCGATGTTTGCCCCTATGAACCCAACAATAACAAAATAGTATTCATCAGGGAAGCAATGACTAAATCCAACAAAAGCATTTTATGGGAAGCCAAGCAGGAATTAAAGAACAAACAAAACTATAAATACGTTTGGTTTAAAAACGGTATGGTTCGTGCAAGAAAAGATGATAACACGAAAATAGAAAACTTAAGATCTATATTGGATATACAAGTTATAAAAAAAAAGACAGAATGTCAATTAACTGCCCAAATTAAATTGCATATAAATTATTATTATTAATATGGATAGTTTAACTAGTGATATTTGTGAATTAGAAGACTGTATAAACATAAATGATTTCGTGAGTAAAATACCCAGCAAACATTTAAATCTGTTGTGTGTACACATAAATATAAGGTCAATCATAAAATATTTTGCTAGCCTCGAGCAATGTATATATGCGGCTAACACCATTGACGTTATTGTTGTTACAGAGGTTAACATTTCTGATAGAATCAGTTGTTTGTACAATTTAAATGGATATCAAATGTTCTCAGCGCTCAGAAACAGTAGGAAAGGTGGTGGTATCTTAGTTTATGTAAAAAAGAAACATAAATTTAGTATACAAATTGTAAAAGCCAACATTTCGAGAATATACTCTTTACCATCACAACTCAGACGAAATACACTGCGCATATTTGTGCTATTTACCGCCCACCTAGCCTAAGCAAGAGCCTGTTTATTGACGAACTTCATAATATCATTAAGAGTAACTGCCAGAAAAATATAGACTTGTATCTATTGGGGGACGTTAATATAAACCTAAAGCTAGACATTCCTATAAAACATAAATATTGCAACACATTACACAGTTTAGGCCTTATGTGTGGGATCACAACATACACTAGGGCAGAACTATACAAAGGAATCGTTACAAAATCATGCATAGATCACATATACGCTCGATCCCAAACACACGACCTATACACTGCAGCGGTTGGCACAAAACTAGCGGACCATCGAGCGATCGTGCTCGCTTGCACTAAAGCACAGCTACAGGATGTTCCAACATATAAAACATTAATTGACAAAAATAAATTAACGACCCTTCTAGAGCAAATTGATTGGAAGCCGACAGTAGAAATGAAGTGTCCTATTGGCATATACAACTTCATACAAAATAACATAACTCAAGCATATAAAAAATCAGAATATACAGTTAAACTTAAATCTAACACTCATCGAAACAGTAACCATTGGATTAATAATAGAATTATTAAAGCATGTCATTACAGAGATAAACTTTTTACACAATATATAAAAGATCCAAACAACTTAATACTTAAACAAAAATATAATAAAACCAGAAATTATGTCAATAAATTAATAAATAAAACTAAAAATAAAACACTTAGAACCAATATAGAAGCTAATAAAAACAATCTAAAAAATCTATGGGATATATTAAACCGATTAACAGGAAAAATTAAAACATCCATTGACGTAGCTATACAAAACTCATTTGAAAATCAAAATGTTACGTGTAAAGATATTGCAAATAATTTTGCAACTACCTTCCACAATAGTATCAGTAATGTTGCAACCAACTGTGTAAATCCACTGTTGGATACAAGTTTATACCGGCGAGCAGAAAATATTAGTATGAGATTTCAGTCAGCAGACCCTAAATCTGTTGCAAAGATAATAAAATCATTAAACGACAAAAAAATCTCCAGGCGCAGATAGAATACGAACTATAGACATTAAAATGTTATGTAATAAAATAAACGTAGCCATAGCTAATCTTATTAACACGAGCATTTACACTGGACAATATCCTAATTTATTAAAAACAGGTATAGTACGACCAATATACAAAAATGGTAGCAAAAAAAACTACAATAATTATCGTCCAATAACTATACTGCCAACAATCAACAAAATAATTGAAAAATACATATGTGGACAAATTCAAAGTTATTATAAAAAACACAATATTCTTTCTAACAAACAATACGGATTTCAACCAAATAAAAACACCACACAATTACTATCCGCATTCACAGATCATATTTATAAGCACTTAAATAAAAAGGATCATGTCCTGGTAGTGTTTATTGATTATAGCAAGGCATTCGACACATTAAGGCACAGCGTAATCCTACAAAACCTAAATGACTGCGGAGTACGAGGAAACCTGCTCAAGTGGTGTGAAAACTATCTGCAAGATAGAACTTATCGTGTTAAAGTGTGCAACGAAGAAAGTTTCCCAATATCCATAACAGAAGGTACGGCTCAGGGCTCAGTTATTGGACCCTTGCATTACCTTACCTACGTTAACACATTACCTAACATAATAAAATATTGCCAGATATTCCAATTTGCAGACGATACATGCCTAGTAGCCGCTGGGGCTAACATACAAGAAGCAGAAACAAAGCTACAATCTGATTTCGATACATTGGCTAAATGGTCCCACGACGTGGGACTTGTACTAAATCCGAATAAAACAAAGTTCATGCATATCCGATCCAGTCACAATCTAAGCGCACGTACACCCCACTTAATCTTACACAACCACATTTGTGCACATTCCTATAACTCGTACCCCATCAACTGTAACTGCAACGCCTTAGAATTAGTTCATAACCACAAATACCTGGGGCTTACAATAGATGACCGAATGTCTTGGAAAATGCACATTAATTCTGTCTGTGAAAGGCTAAGAGTGATACTTGCCAAATTCACTATAATAAAAAATAAAATACCTCTCAATACTCTGCTACTGCTATACAAAGCACTAGCAGAATCTATTATAACATATGGACTTTCAAGCTATGGGAGAACATGCAAAACCTATCTTAATCAAATATTTTCATTACAAATACGTATTTTAAAAGCAATTGCTCCTTACAAAATAAAATCACAATATAAAGAAGACTATAGAAAGCTATTTGCATTTTTCAAAATTATACCTATACAAGAGAAAGTGCAGCTAGCATTATTAAATGAAAACTACTTTACAGACAATTACCTTAAAACAACTAAAACTCATTATCACTATACAACACGTAGAAAATTAAAAAACGAATTTCTTTTACCAAAATACAATAATTTATATGGGAAAAAAACATTAGACTATATTATTCCAAATCTATTAAACTCTTTACCGGCTGCGCTATTTGCTAATGTAACAGGAAACAATATCAAATTTAAATTAAAAAATTACTTTATAAGTCAAACAATTACAAATTATGCATAACTAAAAGTAGGACGTCGTTATTTAGTTCATGTTCGAATATGTAAATTCGATTACACATCCTGTATTCGAATGAGAATTTCTCGTCAAGAACAGGTTTCTTGCATCGGCTGTGGAGCGTCATTGTTTCAATTGGTATATGTTGTTCGTGCAATTTTTATGGTTTATTGGTGGGGGTGTTATATTGTATAGTGTGTCACTGGCCTGAGTGTGTAATAGGTTAATTATTTAAATATTTTCGACGACCTGGTGGACGGAAAAACTGTTTCCAGTTTGTGTTTCCACCACGCCAACTTTTTTCTATTTAGGATGATGTATAGAATAAATAAATAAATAAAAAAATAAATAAATTAAAAAAAGTAAAAAATTTGAACTCTATACATACTATCAATAATAATTTTCTAAAATACTTACAACATCCAAGAAAGCGATCGATGTAATTCTGGATCAACATCCCGGATATCCCTTAATGTGATAGCTCTTCCCAACAGCTGCTTATAGAAGGGCGCGGTAAAGGCAGCATCTAATTGATGTCCATGAAAAAGGGCAACGCCGAGTATACGACCCGCGAAATGGAAGTAGGAAAGGTGCTCCGGATTTACCTGAAAGATAATGAACGCATAAAAACTAAGAAGTGAGTGTCATAAATACCCAAATATTAAGTATAAATATTTAAAAAAAAACCGTAATATAAAAAAAACATTGTGCGTGTACACCTCTTTATGAACTTAGTTTTCGAAAAATGATCTACTATATGCAACTTTACAGAAATTGGTTAAATAAAGTTAAATTAGATAAAGTTTAACAAAAGGCTTTTATTATCATAGACATGAATACAAATACAATTATTTCATTTTACCTTATTACTACTAAGATTATTACAGAATTTCATTAATTGTAATAGAATGATTACTATCATTGTTATCGTTATTATGTATATATTTTTGTTATTAATGGCTTCGAATCTCTTCGGATCAACCGTGGTAGGGACAAGAAAAAGATGGCGCGTAACCGAAAAATGTGACGGTAATTTTTTTCCAACGCCGACAAAGAAGTTTAACTTCAAAAAGCAACATGGCGTGTAACCGAAAAACGTGACGATTTGCTACAAAATTTCTCCCATACGTCGATAAAGAATCTTCAAACTTAGTCTGTAACATAAGTGTTTTTTATAATAAATTGTAAAAAAGCATACCCCAGAATCCGCATTAATCTGCAACGCATATCGGTCATCTCCCGCATTTGCATATTGGAACAGTCCATAGTGCGGGTTAAACAATTCCCTTCCCAATAAATGAAGCCATTCCCGTGCAACACCTCCATAATCCAAACCCTCTTCACCTCGAAACTTGACTAATAGCCGTTTTCGTAATTCTTTTCCGCGTAACTTCATTACTAATCGGTAAGATTCTTCTAGCACTTCGTTTCGAGAAACCTAAAAGTGAAAATTTATTTAATAATATTGAACATTTTCGTTCTTATTAAATGATCTTACGTTTTTCATAAAAATACTAATAAAATAAATCATAATTTATATCTTGTTCCAATAAAATAGTGGAGTATATATTAAATTTAGAAGGATTACCGCTTCCAACATAAAGGGAGGATCCTAGAGCTGTCTAACCTCTGACCAGGTCGAGGGTCCCAATATCTAAGGTTGTATTTATACTTGAAGGTTGTTACCGCGATTCAGACTATGACGTCATTACGGTTACTGTAGCCGTAAGGTGTCGCTACATATTATAGACTACTGTGTAAGGCACTGCATATTTTTGTCCATATGAAAAGAATCTTTGTTTTACTGTTATAGTAGCAGCATTTTTCATAATAACTGAATTCGATTTACATAGGTTGGAAGTTCGAAACGATTCATTCAATTGTGAAATGTGATCTATTAAATTGACGCTACTATATACATACATAATATGTACATATTTTTAAATCGAATGTAGAAGTCGACGTAAGAAGTAGACATGGGGAGAAATTGTCTGTGCCAAAAATCAATCTGAACTGTTTAGGAAAAACATCTTTTGTATGGCAATTAACGTTTACAATAATTTACCAAAAGAATTAAAAGATCTTCCGACTAGAGTCTTTAAAAATCGTGTATTACTTTTGGAAAAATGTACAATTCAATAAATTTAAAAAATTATGATATGATATGTACGATACAAATAATATCAGAATTGACGAATTCCTATCACTAAAAATGTAAAATGTAAAATTCCTTTAAAATTTGAGCGCCATTGTGTGTGGCAGAATATGCGTACTAACGATTGTACCACCTTTCACATTTTTATACCATATTCTTGAAATAAATAAATTATTATTATTATTATTATAAATCTTTGGTACTTATGTCACTTATGATTGAGACATATAGTACGAGGGACGCGGTCTATGACTCGTGTATGTCAAAATTCAATAAGTTTTTTAGACTTTACCTCGATCCTACAATGACCAGTTTGCGGTTGCAATGCCTGCAATTCCGCCCTTAGTACTCTAGCTTTAGCTGCGAGGTCCCGCTTGTACTTTGGTAAAGCGTCAGCATCCGCGGGTTCACTTGCACTTGACGGGGTAGGGACCGGGTTCGTGGGGGCTTCTAGTGGAGGCGTCTGAAACGTAAATAAAATAAAATAATAAATTCAATTATTAACAAAAAATTGATTTAAAAAATACTACAGACTGTAATATTAATTTAAATTTTAAATAAAAATTACATAGATTATGCATTTTTTTTACATTTTTTGTAAAATCAAGTAAGTTCACTAAAAAAAAATTATTCAGAACTTCGTAGTCTTAATTTAGTCTTTAACAATTCTGTTTTAATTTGTTTATATTAATATTTGTGTTTAATAGGTCCAAGTTCCAGTAGTAAGATTTAATTACTATTAGTTGATGTTACTGTGTATACAGCTTTGTGTACATGTGTACATGATGGTCCTGCTCCTTAGTACAAACTAGACAAATAGTTTATTTTTATAAAGAACAATGTAAAATATATAGTTGCAATATTTGAATATGTGAGCACCATATATCTACAAAAAATTAAGTTTTTTACAACGTCTAATAATATAAATAAACGCCAGCTGCTCGCACGAAAAAGCATGACCCATTGTCCCGTTACGCTCAATGTACTATTGCGCCGCAGCAATCTCTCTTTCACTCGAAGATTTAAGTATGCAATTTCATCAATGTTTTGTTATGATGTTGTCACGATAAACTATCGTCCGTAAATCGACTTTACAGACAACCATTTTTTTTTAAATATAAAAATTAACTTGTAATTTTGACTTTCAAAAGTGTCTTTAATAGGCCTAATTGAAATAATGACTTTTTGACTTTTGAGTTTACGTTATAGACCACAAGCCCATGAACAAAAAATACCTGTGAAATGACCCAACGTGAATTACGCTTAGAAGGCTGTTACTATATCTGAAAATAGCTCTGAGCACTATGCCGTCATTTCTGAGCGGTACATGTGAGTACGTGAGTGAATGGACCTTCTCAGGTATAATTGGGGAATTTCGACTAATTATTAATGTACGGCTTTGTTATAAGTGTATAGATGATTAAAAATAAATGTCGAAAATCCTAGTGCCGTACTAAAGTGATGGTGCCGGAAGTCGGTGCAAATTTTTAATTCGACGACAGTTGCAGAAGCAATGTAGGTCATTTATTGTGTATTGTTATGTGATTCCTTTTGGACACATATACAGATACTTTACCCGTAAACGCCGTACATATTTCCAGCGGAGTGGTCGAAAGCCAAGGGTCGCAACCCTACAACTACACCCATATACCCTAAGGTCATTGTAAAATGTACGGCAACAAGTTCAAAATATTATTTAAGACGGACAATAATGTTTTATAATTATGCCGTCCAAAAATTATAGTTAATATTTATGTAAATAAATATTTATCGAAATTTCAGGATTTACCGAGTTATTACTGCTGTAAGATCAGAGAATAATGTACGGCAACTTGTTTTTTTACATAATGTTACTAAATGTTACCGTTGTACCTTATAGCCGTTCATTATAAATGGTAACAAATAAAAATATTATGATAAAAAATGTATGAAATTTCCGAAATTTAGATGATTTTTCAAATATTCCTAAAGTAATATGAGGAGTAATATTTTCAAAGATTATTGTTATTTTATATGTAACAAATATAAATAAACAAAAAAAACCAGACGCCGTACATTTTGCTCCAGATTATTCTTTACAGCTGATAAAAACTTCGACGACGTTTGAGGTGTCCCTTAAGGTCATTAATAACTGTACGTATCTGAGTATACTACCATAAGACTGTAAAGTATATTTACAGCCTTATCGTACGAGCAGAGAGAGGTAAAGGAAAAGTATTTTTAACAAAAATAAAAATATAATACAGGGCGTCCCAAAGTTTTGGGACATGAAGGGGAAAGTACCTTTAATATCGTAGATAGGGTATTTTACTGAAAGAAGACTTTACGTTATTTTTAAAAGTTAGTAATTCTGCATTAAAAGATTTTGAAAAAATTACTAGCCTCGTCTGGAAATCGAACCGGCTTAAATGTAAAAATAACACCCCTACTTTTATGATACCAATCGAAAGAATGGCCAAAACCTAATAACTTTTCTAAAGTAACAGACTAGTAGGGGTTTTTTTAGGCCGAATACGATAGATAATGTTAATTTAATTAAAAAGATATATTCACGCAGTTCCTTTCTTTTAAAATACCCCATACACCTATGTGTTCCACAAAAAATGTACGGCATGCTGGAAAATGGTACCTATTTGTGAAGAACTCTCAAGATCATTTAATTTTATGTTGTTCTATATCATCATCACCTATATGCTAATCAGACATATGTTGCGACCCTTGGCTTTCGACCGCTCCGCTGGAAATATGTACGGCGTTTACGGGTAAAGTATCTGTATATGTGTCCAAAAGGAATTACGCAAATGCCGTACAGTAATAAATGACCTATATTGCTCCTGCAACTATCGTCGAATTAAAAATTTGCACCGACTTCCGGTACCATCACTTTAGTACGGCACTAAGTTTTTCGATATTTATTTTTAATCATCTATACACTTATAACAAAGCCGTACATTAATAATTAGTCGAAATTCCCCAATTGTACCTGAGAAAGTCCATTCACTCACGTACTCACAAGTACCGCTCAGAAATGACGGTATAGTACTCAGAGCTATTTTCAGATATAGTAACAGCCTTCTAACCGTAATTCACGTTGGGTCATTTCACAGGTATTTTTTGTTCATGGGCTTGTGGTCTATTAAGGTGTATTTATGCACAAACATTTAATGTTTGAATTTGGCCCTATATGAAATTCTTGTCTCATATAACCCTTATTTAACGAATTAAAACGCGAATTAATTAAATTATTTATAAACATTTTGGCATTTATAATCGTATTTATATCTATTAAAAAGTGTTATTTAGAAATATTAATTTTATACAGGGCTAAATCCAAAGCAAGAACAGCAACATTACATTTGCCTTACCAAAACTGACTAATCTTTGGTAGTAATTAATTAAATCCACTTCAAAGAAGGTAGTAATTGGTACTTACCAATCGCGCAGACAAAGCGAGACGTGGGTCTGTGAACTGGGTGGTCCTCTTATTATGGTCCACGAAGTATGGTCGACCTGAAGGGGAGTGTCTCATCTCCCATCCTGGGGGCAAGGGCCCAGCGGCCGCCGCACAATGTCGTAAATGTTGGGGCACTCGGGGATCATGCCATGTAGATGCCCCAGTGATACTGTTGTAGAAGTATACCTGGCCTTGGGCCGTGGTACGCATTTCTGTAATTGAAATTGCTAGTAATTGTCATGTGCAAAGGAGCAAACAACTATTTTAAAATATGGGATACACCCACATTCCACATTTAATTCGTAGGAATTAAAAATCTGTCCTAATTTTAGACCCTGTTTACAGGGAACCAACACTCTTTTTGAATAATGTTATAAAATTATTTTTAAATTGTGTTTTAGACTATCTGTCAGAAGTATTGTGCGAGAAGATTTGATACCGGGCGGTTTTTAAACCTGCACTTTTAACGGATTGAAACTCGTCAAGTATCACTAATGTGCTTTAAAGTATGCGACGGGACAGTTACCAATTACAATTAATTTAATTTTTTTTGCAAAAATATAAACGCATTTCATTCCTAAAAGTTTATATTCGTTTAACGTTTCTATGAATATCCTTACCATAGCCAGGTGGAAGGTCAGTAGCTGCTACTGGTGCTGATGTAGAATTGGAAGATGTAGGGGAAGACTGCTGGGCAGGCGGTCGTGACCGCACCGCTGTTTGTGGTTGAGGCTCGGGCCTGAAAGTTATATTTCTTTATTATCGATGCAATTTATCTACATGCACATCTTCTTTATATGAATGACTCAATATTTCTACTACTGTCAAATATTTTGTGTATAAAATTCACATTTCATTGTTAAAGGTTAAAATTATTCAATTCTCAAAACATGACTCTGGCATCAAGGCCATTGTAATAGCGCGGAAGTTTATGTGATTCAATTGCCGTAATGATATGTTATGTTACCTTAATGATATGGAATTTCCATGGCTGACGTCAGTGTCTGATATAGGCGAAGCAGGTGATACAGGTGTTACTGGGGAAACTGGGCTCATAGGTGTGGGAGACGACGGAGGGGAGACCTGCGGACTCGTAGCTTCAGAGCTCGGCCGCTCCCATTGCGTACGACGTAACGCATGGTTCACGTAATATGGGCTGGAATTTATATTAAATCTGGTTAAATTTTGTATTAACCCTATATAGAGACGTAAAAGGTACTACGCGTTCTGGCTTTATAGCCGTGATATGGAAATAAACTTTGTATAGACAACAACGCTAACTGACCAAAGTCGAATTATTTCGATATTTTAAGGAGCTTGACGTTTATACAGCACATAGAATATAAAATAGTCTAGTCATTAGGTGTGGCACAGCAGTACAATCATTTGGATATTATAAATGATGCTAGATCATTAATAACTATTTATTATTGGGTTAAGGGTTAGTACAGTTGAGATGTTATTATTACTCTTTATTACAAACAATCGTACCAATGTTGAAAGGTGCAGTATAATTACTATTAACATAAAAACAAATATTCTTTCCTATATGATATTTGAAAGTGTAATATGAATTAATTGGTTGCTGTGTACTAAAAACTATTAAATAAACATTAAGGTAGATTCTATAATATATCTGATGCAACTTTACATGACACTTTAGGTAAATCATAATTTAAAATATATAGGTGAATCAAATTTTTTTTTGTAAATCAGGCTATTGAATTGATTAATGTCGTAATTGATGCTTGATATATGCACATTGCATTAATATGATTTATTCTAGTATGATGTAAAAATATTCTAATTCAATATATCATTTTTATTTTAGTAAACAACATGTGGTTTCCATTTTTATTGTTCCCTCACTACTTCTGTAGTACTCATTTAATGCTAAAATGTAAGTATAAATAAAAACTGTATTAGCAAGAAGCTTAATACTAAGCTTTTATATAAATAATACCTTTAATGTTAATTGGGTCACTTCACCTTAAGGTGAAGTATTTTTAAAGTAACAGATAAAATGTGTGACCAAAAGGTTGTTACACTACACATTATTTGTTTTTAAACTAACACATACCGTCCACTTGAAGTAAGCCGTTCCTCCCAATGAGGGGGAAGTGGAGAATTTGTAACATTGTTTACAGGTGGTTCCCGTGGGGCCCTGACCTCTCCTGCTGGTCCAACCACAGCCAATGGAGAACCTTCTCCAGCAGCTGAGGCTGGTTCACCTCTTGTACTATCTCTTGACAACAGTGACACAATTACTTGGCCCTTTACTCCACATGTTTCTCCAGAGCTGTCTTCACATAATTCGAGACATTGATCTAAAATGATTATTAAAAACTCATATTATGTGTATGTCAAGTTAGATACTATAACCTTTTTATCTTCTTTATAATATAAAAATCCTGTATGCAACGCTAAAAAAATAATTCAAATGAGTGTAAAACTTACATCCTGTATCTTTTAATTTATGAACAGTGGACGGTTGAATTCGCACACAACCTAAGAACCCAGATCCTTGTCGTTTATGTACTTTTCGTTGATTCCAAATACTGTAATTAACCAATAATTTGATGATATACTTTAAAATATTTAAGAACATAATATGAGATATTCTATAGTCATTATTATACTCATTTTGACGCACCTTATAGTAATTCCATCACCTTTAGTTAAATATAAGTCATAATGTGTATTCCATTTAGGATCTAATGTAGCTTTTACTGCATTTGTTGAATACACTTGGCCACTACCATCCACAGATATTTTTGCAAAAGGATCTGGCAGTCCTGTATACAAATACATTCTCTTATTGTATGATACATATTCTTAGAAATATAGGATACAGAATAGCAGTCATCAATGAACAATCATTTGTTAACAAAGTCATCACTTCTATGAAATGTTTTTTTCTTGTATCTTTATCTATTTACATGGAATGTTTAATACCTTACATTAATACATAGTTTTCTTAACTATGCAGAATAGGTTAATATTGTGTGTAAAAAATTGTACATTGTTGCACTGCCTGAATATTACATGTATTAACTATTAAATTTATGCACAATAAATAAGATTTTTTGGAGAATGAGGCATGTTTTATATATAAAATAGTTTTTGTATCAACATAATAATATGAAAGTTGTAAATATCAAATCATTTCTAAAGCAAGGAGGCTTCTTATTCTATGTAAGTTTAAGGTGCAACAAAATAAAAAGAAGCGATATCCTGCCATTTAACATTAATTAGAATTCATAATCATCTGCGATTACATTAGTGAATATCCCGACAGTTGCTAAATTTGTGTTTGTACATAAGGCTAACATATATAATTATGTATGAGTAAACTTACGAAATAAGTCACGCCGAACTAGGTTTCTGGCACACAGAACTAAAAATAAAATTATTATTAATTTTATATACATACTATAAGAAAAATTAACTTTAGGAATACATAAGTGAAAGGTGTGATCACTTACTCGTAAGTCGTATTTTTTGCGCTCCATATTTACGATTCGAAACTGGAGTTGACATTATATTTTTTATAAACTTAACATCACAATTTTTTGATTTCTTCTTCTGTAAAAATAATATTTCGTTTCAATTCCTAAGTTATTATTAAGCCACCATTTTTAATTTATTCGTAAATCGTAATTCACTCTTGATTTTTGATGTTTAGACAATTGATAAACGAGAATGTCAACTTTCAGATTTCCATACTTATCGCACAGTTAACAAATAACAGAGTATATTTTGCGACAAGTATACTTTGCCTATACTATTTTTCTTGGTCGGTAAAAACTTCTTTGTCATGGATATTAGTATTGCCAGTAAATAAAAATTAAACCATTATAAGGGGAATAATTTGAAGTCATGCAATCTAACTTAATAATAATTATTGAAATGTCTTAATTAAAACTATACTAGCATCTAGAAAATACAGTTATAGGCTTAAATAAATGATGAAACAAACTAAGGAACAACTGATCTGACATTTCAAAATGGCGACGGTAGTGCCAATTTCAACCGCCGGCCAAGGCAAGTATGCGGTACGGTACTGTACAGGGGCTTGAGAAAAAATCACTTTCAGACAGGCTAGGCGTGACCCGCTAACGCTTAACTAATTTGTAACTAAGTTGATAATAATAAGCAGACTTTCATAAAACGTCACCAAGTAAAGCTAATTAAAGTAGTCAGACATAATTTAAGAAGACCTTCGTCAGTGTTTCACAGCGGTATGTGGTCTGCATTTTTACTAACAAAGGAAGGCGCTCCTTCCAACCCGAAACATTGAGAAATAATTGAAATTTTTAGTGAAATAAATTTTTGTACTTATGTATATGTGTAAAAGATGTATGAGGACGAGAGCTTATTCAACGTTTTGGTTTGTAGAGTTTTTGTAAAATGTAAGCACACACTTAAATAATACGCAAATATTAATAAAATTGTTAGGTATATTATATTGTTATATCAATCATATTTATACATTTTAGGTCATATAAAACCTTTTCCTTAAATAATCATTCTTCATACTAGTCTTCAAGTCGTTGATTATGTTCAATTCCATAGATAAGTTTATTATTTTTAATGTATGCCCACGCCATTCTCATGGAACTGAAATGTATTCCTACATCTCCATTCTTCGAAAGAGTTATCGCCCCTGCTGTGTTGTTTAAACGATTCGTCATACCTTCAAGAAAATATTTAATTTTTTTTAAATATTACCTTAGTTATCACTGATAAAACTTGTTGAATTGTAATTAATAAATTTATTTGTAATGAAACACAATACATGATTAAAGGTATTATATAAGTATACAGGGCGTCCCAAAGTTATGGGGCATGAAGGGAAAGTACCTTAAATATCGTAAATAGGGTATTTTACTGAACGAAGACTTTATGTTATGTTTAAAAGTTTGTAATTCTGCAGAAGAAGTCTGCTGAAGACTATGGACTTGTCTGGAATTGTCAGTTGTAAGACTATTAAAGAACTCCAAAAAAATTTACGATTTGCCCATTATTATAAAGTTTGATTTACCATGACCACAAAGCTTAACTAAATTTTTGAAATGTCCCTTAAAATAAAGCAATGAAATAAAAGTAATAATCAAATAATCTTGCTAGTAATGGTCATGGTATTTAACAGATCTGTATGGCTCATGCAATGTTTAAGTCAGAATAACTGTAAATGTTATAAAATTCACTTGCCATCAACAGCAGTCTTAGTAGCAGTGTTTGCATCAATACCAGTCTCCATGAGTTTAATAATACTGTGAGCCAAACAGTACTTCAATATCGATTCTCCGTGACCTGAAACGCGAAAATAGAGACAGTATATTAGAAAATTTAAAATACTGAATAGTTGCGAGCAATGTGGGCCGAAGCTCGGGATAAAGGGGATAACCCCACACTGGAACAATTAAACGCGTGGCGAGCCTTAGAAGACCAGCAATTGTTAGTAGAGTGGGAAAGCGAGCTGGCGGGTGCGAGTGCCGGTAAATTTACTACCGAAGCCCTCAGACCTTTGCTTCAACTTTGGGTAAAGAGGCGCTGGGGTCACCTCAGCTATCGACTTGTGCAGATGCTGTCCGGACACGGATGCTTTGGTAGTTATCTGCACAAAGTAGTAGGGTGTGAGGAGTCACCAACCTGTCACCACTGTGTCGGAGACAACCGGGAAGTGGAAAGGAGACCTTTGTTAGATGCTCTCCAGGGCGAGGACGCAATACTGCCAAACGTAGTGAAAGCCATATTGAGCGCAGGAAATGACGGCTCGTGGAAAATCTTCTATAATTTCTGCGAGTCGGTCATGAAAGTCAAAGAAGAAGCGGGAAGAACCAGGGAGCTTTGTCCCGGAACCCGTCCGCGGCGGCGAAAGAAACCGCAGGCCCGTCAAACCCTCGCCACCTAAAGAGTGCCCAAGCGGGGAAGCAGGGGTCCATGCGTTCAAAAGAAGGGATGGTGATCCATCCCTGCAAGCACTGGACCCGATCTCCCCTAGCTATTCCTAAAAGCGTATGGCCCGATCTGTGAAGGATACTTGCTGTGTCAAGTATCTTCACAAATCAACAATGGGCGGGGAGAGGCGGACACAACTGCCGCATCGCATGTCGGGAAGCGGATAAGGCTCTGCTGTTACCGCATCCCGCCTAAGGCGATTGTTGGTGGCGCCTTGGGGTTTTAGTGGGTATGCACATTCGCGAGTCCCACATAACCCTCCCGCACTAAGCAGTCGCACCGCGGTAGGGTATGCGCAAGGCATTTCCCCAAGTAAAAAAAAAAAAAAAGTGCCTTTAGTGTGCGTTTCAATGGACCTTAAGATAAACAAATCGTATTTCGATTTTAGTTTTCCAGTATTTTGGTAATCAATAATGTCTTTACGTCAAAAATCGCTGATCTAATTTAAATACATATTCTTACCAGTAGTAGAAACACCTCCAACATTATTATCAGCATATGTGCCGCTACCTATCTGTGGCGTGTCTCCAATTCGGCCGACTGCTTTCCCACTCATTCCTCCCGTGCTAGTAGCGACCGCTATATCCCCATTACGATCAATAGCAACAGCACCCACTGTTCCCACTCCTCCCTAGAACAGTTTTAAGTATAAGTTTTGTACAAGATTATTATTAACGTTTTTAAGGAATTAATTTTTGAAGTTATACTTCTTTAGGCGCGTTATGAAAAATTTATGAGAGTGAAATTTTAACGATGCGCGCGCACCTGTGACACAAAATTAGGAGTGTGATTATAGCGTGCGCGAGCGAGATAGGAATAATACAATCTACAAGTAAAAAGAAATAGAATATGCGTGAAGTTCGTATGCCAAGAATTTTGAATGACCATAATGACATTTGTCATTTACCTTTTAAACAAATAAAGGAGTTTTAATTATTTTTTCAAAGAAATTTAGCAATGCTTTTTGAATTATATATAATCAGAAGTGATTTAAATTGAATATTTAAACCAATACTAATTAATATTTGTGAAAAAACTGTGCTCATCAACCTTCCTAAGTGCTTCATTACAATTGAGGTTAACTATCAGTTTGTATTATTATTATCGAGTAATGTTTTGATTAAAAAAATTACCACATTGTTTAATCAAAACATGTAATTTTTCTCTAGCAAATATAAGGACAAGAGACAAAAAACAATTGATGAATCAGTGTAAGTGCACTAAATTGAATACAAAAAAAGAGTTGTCATCTTATCGCTGTGAAACATCAAAAACTGGAGGTGGAACAAAGCCAAACTATTTTTATTAATGCCAAAGAAGTATAACTTCTTACGCGCGTACATAAGTACACGCACCCTTTTTTTTTAAATTAAAAGGTGCGAATGCTTATATTTCAAACTTACCTAACACATACACATCAAATAAGTTAACACCCAAATGTTTGGCTTAGGTAGTGCCCTTAGGTATACAAACTTTCTCCAATTTAAGCAAGACCTAGTAGAAATCCCATCAATAATGAATATGTATGTATTAAGTCCAAATGGGAAAAGGGGCCGATAGATTTTAGAGTAGTCATTGTTGCTAGGTGATAATCCTTCTGTGCCTAACACATGTTAGATTTTTAAGCCTTAGAAATGCCGATTTCTACAATAATTTCCATCACCGTACGAGTACCGTTCTTGCGCACGTAGAAAAATCTATCATCAGCTGTAGTTCGAACGCATGACCAGGTTTATTTTTGATTCTTACCTCATTCTTTAAACCTATTTCGGTTCTACCAAATTCACCGTGTTTCAAGAACTCTTCGAGTGCGTGTTTTGCGTTTTCACTGATAAGTGATTCTGGTGGCACTGTTTGAAATCCCTAAAAAGATAGATATACAAACATTTTAATATTTTTTTATTGATTGATATTGATATTAAATTATTTTATCTGAAATACACATGGTAAATCTTAAACTTTAAAAATATTGGATTTCGTTACCATCCTAAGGGTGCGTACAGACTATGTAACATATTATATAACTTGTGTTTTATAACACGTCCACATTATGTAACCTTGTTATTCAACATTATAACACAAAACAATACTGTACACATTAGAATAACAATGCAATATAACAATGTTATATAACCATTTTAAATAACAAAAGAAAAACAAAAAAACGTAGATGCTGGGTTCGTCCTAGCATACATATCAATAAAATGTTATTATAACATGTTTTATAACATTCAGTGTCCACATTATCTGAAACATGTTGTATAGCAATGTTGTATAACATGTTATGTTATATAGCCTGTACGCACCTTAATTTAACCCCTCAATATCGCAAAAAATACAGCTAAGCCTTGATGTATTCTTCGTGCTGATGATACAAAGTACACATGTCAGAAGTGAAACTTCTTTGGCAAACTAATTTTTAACTCTTGTTTATATTAATACAAATCTAAAACATTAGATTGGCGAGACTTAGAGAGAGGAAAAAGGAAGATACGAATTTAAAAAATTAATACAAATAATAAATTTATTTTTTTCGATATTAAAACATGTGGCATATTAATTTACAATTCGTCATTTGAGATTTCAATAAATTATTTTACATAAAATATAAAATACTAATATTTCATAAATTCTCTTTACGAAATTTTAATTTTAAAAATAGAATTACTATAAGGTACACTCTCTCTCAATCGGTCTCAATCGCTCGCTCCCTTTTCTTCGACAAAAACGCTGCACATCTTCCTGATGTTCCGTAAAATTTTTACCCTCATGCGCATGTGCATGCCTTAAGAAGTTTCACTTCAAAAAATCGTAACTGTAAGTTTGTTTAAATTGTCTTAAAATTCTATTAATAATGATGAAATTAAATAAATATTACCTTCTCTAGAGCAAATATTTTAGCTCCCTCTGCACCAAGCAAAGAGTGGGGTGAATCACATAAAACTTTGTGGGCAATGCTAATTGGGTGTTCAAAGTCTTTAATTAGTGTTACAGCACCCACATCAAGGTTCTTTCCACTCATAATACTTGCCTCCATTTCTACTTCACCACGTAAGTTTAATACCGAGCCGTAGCCTGTAAAAACATTGTGTTTGGTTAACCTTTATTGCCTTTGAAATATTCACAATTCTTAAATTGTCACCTAATGCAGCGAATTATGGCCCCCGGATTTCAAAATCCTATACTTTGTTACGTACGGGAGTCAAACTTAAGGACCTGTGCAAATCTAAGCGGTAGTCGCTACCGTCTATGGTAGTAGGAAGTAGAGTGTCAATATAAATCCGTTAATATATCCACACAGGGCAGAATTTTGGGCGAGTTTCGCTCAGGCCCAGGAGAACTAATGTTATGTCAACCCCGCTTGCGGAGTGAGTAGTACTCACGCTGTATGTACCTCTACCTACAGTGGCAGCGATTATCACCCAGGTTTGAAGAGGTCTTTAGGAAGAAAAGCTGTCAATACAGCCACTACATATTTGAAAGTAACATAATTAAAAAAACATTTGGTAAATAAGTAAAATATATGTAATATATGTATAGTGTGACTAGAACTATCTTTTATTAGTGTTACTAACTCTGAACTTATTATGGAAATAAAAATAATCTTTGTCAAATTATATACCCTATTTAACTATTTCAGGAATAACTGGTAACAGATCACTCAAATATAAGTACTTATAAGACATTGATTTTAAGATTACCATAGGAGATATTCACCTGCATTAAAATATTCATCCTTCTCCATGGAAACCACAGCTGCCTCAACAGCATCCAAGGCGGCGCCTCCCTCTTTCAATATTTTATTTCCAGCTTTCACAGCAACTCTAACACCATCTAGTTTGCCTTGTACTCTACTCTCTGGTATATTACCAGCACCACCATGAACTATGATGATTGGCTCCATTGTTCTACAAATTAAATATATATATATATATACATATATGTATATTTTGTGTAAAATTTATCAGTGATCCAAATTTCAAAACCTTAAAAGGAAACCTGTCTGAACAGTTAATTCAGATTTGACTAACTCATATTATTGTTGCACATAGTTGAGTTTATCATTCTGTCTTATCAATCAACTAACAAATGTTTATAGACTTCTATCTTATCATAAATACAGGTCCCTACAGTGAGTGTAGTTTTCTTAAGTAAACATTTTATATTATTATGATGATTATTATATTATTGGAGATTCTCAAAATAAGTGATACTGCATAAACCAACAAGTCTTACAGAAGTATAGAAGTATGAATACACACTTTTATTATTTTATTTACTGGTTTCGCTCACAATGTGCAACTGAAATGTTGGCACCTGTTGTTGTTGTATATTTAGATATATAAATCTTCAATTAGTTTGAGAGGTAGGGCAGGTCATAGGTATATTATATAAAACACTGTAGTCTAACAGTAGCTTTAAGCTGCTAAATGCTGTTAGTTTTCTAACTTTAAATACAAATTAGAGATTTTACTGTAGGTAATTGTTAAACTTACACAAATGCAAAGATTGTTCCCACAAAATATATTGTACTCAGATATAAACATAATATTATTGTTACAATTCTGACTTTTAACATTATCGTTAGGGTATAATAACTAAAAATCATTGCCATGGGTAAATTTAAGAATTGGATATTTATTGGCAAAGTTGTATTCTCTAAATAGATTTAGCATTTATGATCCAAAAAAGAGGTATCAACAAATCAATTGGCAATCCATAAAAACAATGCATATTAATATTTTTAAACTACCCGCATATTATATGATAAGATGTATCTCTGTGTATAGAGACGACAGGAACTGCTGGGGTCTAGCCATATTGGTGTCGAAAAGTATTCTACATACACTACCGCTTTTGCGTAATTGTACTGTCGAAAACGCTTCGTTCGTAGCCAAGAGGCATGTCGATACATTACCGCAAAGTCGACAGCGTAGATGCGAGCTGCTGTTCGTAGCACCTTATTCCGTCATATTGTCTCTGGATTAAATGTATTCCTAATGTCACTTTTATAAACAAATAAAAGTTAAAACTACAATATTATTGTTAATTTGCAATAATTGCAAATTCCAATTATTGGAAGCTGCAAAAGGGACATTAGAATGTCAGTAAGGTCGGAACAATTTTCGATTTAAGTGGAATTTACTGAAGGTGTAAAGTGAATATATGAATTTTAATTGCATGTTTAAATTACTTATGGTTTGTTTCATGTTTTCTCAGAAATTTAAGGCTACAAATAAATACAATATTTTGAAATTGCATAATCGCGATATATAATAATTAGTAGTACTCATACTTTGATATTTTTAGGATTTGACCTCACAACTAATCTGCAAAATGAAGAAGCAACATATTTTGTTACCGCTTAGAAGAAACAATAGAAATAGTACTGTGGATTGATAAATAAAGAGTGAAAATAAGGTTGACTAGAAGTTGATAAGGAATAGAAGGATAGTCCAAGAAATTAAAAAATAATAGAAAAAAAACGTAGACTAGTGTGAACACTGAAATTAGAGTTTGATTTAAGCTTTAATTAGGTTTGGTGTTTGTGCTTGAACATTTTTAATGTCAATTTGAAAGCAGATTTATATATAAGTGTAGATTTTATTAGTGATTTGCTACTAGTTGGAATTATCTCTGTTTATGTCCAACAAACAATTTTAGTTTAAGTTAGAGTCATAAAGGTTGATTGTTTATAATAAATGTATACTTTTAGAAAGTGAGAATTGAAAAGCAGCAAGTACTCAATGAAATGAAAAGAGGGATTAATAAAAATTATAAAATAGAAACTTAGTCTGGTATGAAATTATAAGCCTTACTCAACCTTTGATTCCATATTGATGCTCCAACATCTTAGATATAAATTTAAGTTTGATGCTGATTTTAAGTTAATATTTATGTCAATTAAGTTTTGGTTATATCAGTGATTTGCTACTAGTTAATATGTAAATGCCAAATCTGTTTAAGTAAGAAATGAATAAACATTGCATGTTATGTATTTGTCAGTTTTATTTTTGGTAATTTACCTATGTCTTCTTTAGTAGGAAAAACCATTAAAGTGGTTAACAATATAAGTTTCTTTTACAAGAATATACAGATAATGCATATATGAATGACCCGTACCTACTAATAGTTAGAAATATTAAACAAATAGGTAGCAAAATAAAAATGTTCCAGTTATGGTTATTTTTTATTAAAATAAGGCACCAAATATCTTCCTTAACATAATGCAGTCTACATAGAAAAATAAGCATATATAACAACTTGTTAAACAATACAGACATTACTACTGAACACACACAGGTGCACCAAATTCAATGCATTACTACCTAATGTAGATGTATTCAATTATTCATATTTATATATGTAGATAATTAACTAATAAATGTAAGTGTTAATTTGCAGCAAAGTCAATATCTTATTTGTGTGCTGTTATATACAAAAAATTGTTCAATTCATAAAACCTAACGTTAGATGTTGTGATGATTTCATAAAATTACTATGATACCTACAGTTACTATGAATACATCCTGGGCGATTAAAAAAACAGTGATTGTTTCCTTAACACAACAATTGTAAATAATAATAGTTATTTTAAAGATATAATTCTTCCCAAAATCTACAAATCCAGTTTGTTTATAATAATATCTCATTAACATTCAAACTGCTGAATTTATTAAGATTAAATGTGGAAGAACATAGTTTCAGTTACTGTTTCCTGTTCATGAGGTAATGTTACTTAACCAACCATTATTTCATACTCCACTTGTCTTATTTTTTACATTATTCATAAAATGCTTCATTCCCCATTTTCTGGTACATAATATAACACTTAAATTAATTAAAAGATAAGACTTTAATAAAACTTGTCCATTTGTGGTTTTTTTTAATATTTTTAGTTGTCTTATTAGCTTCTCTTTTTCTGAAAAGAAAATATTTTAGTTAGTACTTTGATCAAATAGAAAACTGACAAACTAAACTAAGATCGGTCCAAGGTTTGTTCAATAGGTAACTTTAATTTACTCTTTACTTAATTCTAAACTTAAAAATATACTTAATTTGTCACTTTGCTGCTTATTGTCAATTAAAGTTTTTAATAACCAAACAATGTCAGTAACTCCCAAGGGACTTGAATTCAAACTTCTCATTCATTAACAATATTATAATAACTTCTCTAGTATATTGACTTAGTAAATAATTAAAGAAAATATCTGCTTACCATTATTTAGTATTGCTCACTAGATTTTATATTTCCAAAGTTCATAAAGTATAAATCCACTTTATTTGATTAATTTAAATCAATATTATATCATTATCAGCTTCTATTATAATTACAATAAAATATATTTAGAACTTCTAATTATGTTCATTAGTGACTGCTTTCTCATCTGAAATATACAAATAAAATGTACAATCATTTTACTTTGTGATTACATAATATATGCAATATTAAATGGTATACGTATTTGTCAAATTAAAGAACAATTTCATGAACTTACATGCAATATAAATATCAATAAAAGATATCCAATATAACTAGGATTTACCTCTACTAATTTGCTGATTTTCTTGATATTTTCATATTTATCTGTGTCTATTATGTTATCCTCGCATTGATTCATAGAAAAACTAAAACTCTTAACTTAAAAATATTAACTCTAGTTTAAATTTATTAAATTATTATAATTACACGAGAACGTTAAAAAAGACAGATAACAAATTAATTATTAAAACCATTTCGTAAAAACGTCCAAAATATGACATGTTTTTAAAACGGTAGCCATTAAAGATGGCAATAGTTGTACTGAATTATTGCAAACAGCAGCTTTTGAGATAACGCTAAAACATGGCGGAGAAACGCCGTTTTTTCTACACTGCCGAAACATTAATTGGCCGTTGGCTACCGAATAGCGGCAGCGTTAATGTGTGTCTTTTCGTAGCACTGTCATGGCGTCGCTTATTGTATCCCGACTCACGCCTTTAGGGCCTAGGCTACCGACAGTCGACACGAGCTGTCATTTTCATACAAATTTAGTTTTCGACTTTCTACATACACTACTGTTAAGCCATCTTGGCTAGACCCCCCAGCTGCTGGGGTTGGGCGATCGATGGCAGATTATTTTAGTCAAAGTATTTATTCTATGATCCAGCCCGAAGGTCGATTTAATTCTTCTAATAAGTAATAATTCAATGTGGTGCGATCAATCGAGTACGAACTGGAAAATTGAATTTTAGTTTATTAATAGTACAGATAAGTGATTTTTTCATTCTTTCCAAATATTTCACACTTTATTTTATATGTCATATTTTAGTTTAAATTTTTTTGTCGGTTTTGTACTTCACATTTTAAAATCTGTATTCTGTATCCACCTGACAACCAAACCACAGATGTATAGGGGAGATCTATAATATGTTGATAACAATCGTTTTGTCAGTCATCTGTCAGGTTTCACGTCAGAAAATTTGAAAACTTGAATTTTAAAATTCAATTTTGATTATCACAAATTTTCTATCAATATTTATATTACATATAAAGTGAACCATGTTTTGAATTTTAATAATTGATATCTAGCTACACTAAAAGTTCGTTAATTAAAATGAGTCTGCGCTTCCGACCTCCCGAATTACAGTCTTTTAACTGGATATTTAAAGATTCTCCATGTTTTCCTGTAAGTGCGTCTAAAATTAATATAATAACAAACCCAAAACAGTTCTATGAAACGTTATCGGAAAGATTTAGATTCGCAAAACGTAGAATATCAATAGCTAGTTTGTACATCGGTACAGGTGATTTAGAAAGAAAATTATTAGGATTTACAATTGAGAATATTAAAAATAATGATAATGTTAAATTAAATGTTTTACTGGACTACCAAAGAGGAACACGAGGTGAAGTTAATTCTCTAAGTTTATTTACTGATTTTACTACTGGGGTAACTGATAGATGCAAGTTGGCTTTGTACCAAACTCCTCGGTTACAAGGCTCTTGGTCAAAAGTACTGCCCTCACGATACAATGAAATTGTTGGTCTGCAGCATATGAAGTTATACATATCAGATAATTCTGTTATTTTAAGTGGTGCAAATTGTTCTAATGACTATTTTGAGAAGAGACAGGATCGATATATTGAAATAGAAGATGAAGATTTAGCTAACTTTTATTGTGAACTTATAGGTATGAAAATTGTAAGTTTTATTTGTTAAATTTTATATTAATGAAATATATCTAGATGAACATTAAGTTAAAAAATATTATGATTTGTTTATAATTTTAGATGAGGTAACAAGTTTTAGTAAACTGACTGGAAAGGTCTCTGCAGAATATAATAAATCTCCAAAAGAGGTTGTGGTTAAGAATCTTAATCAAAATGTCAATAAATTGATCAATAAGTGGAAAGAACAACAGAATTCTAAAATATTGTCTCTAGGTAATGGTAAATATTTAGTCAAATCATTTACATCTTTTACTATTTATGAGTTTGATAACATATATGTATAAATATTTGCTAGAAAAGGTAACTTTTCTTTATAGATTTACAAGGAAATGATACATGGATTTTTCCATTAATACAAATGGGTGAATTTAACATTAATCTAGATGAGCAAGCAACTTGTACTATGCTTGAAACAGTTCCAAAGGGTGGTTTTGTAAGGCTAGCTACAGGATACTTCAACTTGACAGAAAAATATTCTAAGACTTTGTTACGAAATTGCAAATCAAACATTAGTTTACTGATGGCACATCCAAATGTAAGTTTATTTTATTTAAATTTTGACCTTATAGCTTTTTTATTTATAGTAATTTTTAACACTCACTAGTATTGTAAATACATTGTGAGCCACGCCAAAGTTGATGGTGTGTGTCAGGCATAGAAGGCTGATCATCTACTTGCCTATTAGAACAAACAAAGGATTATGAAATAGATATAGAAATCTGAGCCAAAGACCTAAAAGGTTGTAAAGCTGCACCACTAGGTTTTTTTAATATAGATGTTTAATTTATTTAATGCAAATTGCTAAATTATTTTCTTTTGAGAGCTTTCATCTCTGTTTGGTTGAACACACTGTCTGTCTGTGAACTGTGACCTGCAGGGCATAAGTAAATTATTAGTATCAATCATTAAAACTTTAATTCTCAGGCAAATGGATTTATGGGCGCAGCTGGACCTGCCGGAGGCATCCCTCATGCTTATTCACTAATAGCTAGAGAGTACGTTGAATATTTTTTTCTATCCAATATGTAACTGTTAAAGATGTATTTCAGTCAGTTTCTAAGTCTAGTTAAGAGGGTAACTCTACTAGTAATAGGAAAGGTGAACTCTGGAACAATTATTATTACTGTTTATAATATAACAAATTGTTTGTAAACTATTGCAATATGATATGATATTATAGGATGTATTTTGATTTTTAACACTTTAATTGTAAACCCATTTTGGATTCTCACTTGAACTACCATATCCATAATTTCCTATTATATAAATTGAATTTCCCAATTGAATTGTTTTTATATTTGTAATATATATTAATTTCAGATTTTGGCAACAAGTTATAGAATATAATCAAATAAGCAGAGTACGGATTTTGGAATATGAAAGGCAAGGGTGGACATTCCATGCAAAGGGACTTTGGTTAGTATATATTTGGGTTGTGGCATATTTAACTAAAATATATAACATTCTCGAGTCAGAATTTTCGTTCCCATACTCCTCTGAAATGGCTCGACTGATTCTTATGAATTTTTTTATGCATATTCAGTAAGTCTGAGAATCGGCTACAATCTTTCAAACCCCACTCAAAAAAAAAATTTATTTTTAAGACAATTTTTTTGTTTTATTTTTTGTACAGCATACAAAATTAATTTTCATCTATCCTTTACGATCAACCCCTATTTTTTATTTCTTAGTTAAGAACTTATAACTTGAACTCTGAGGTTCATATAGAGAAAAAATCACAGAAAAACCTAAAAGTTTTCATTCCGGAAAACCAAACAGTCTCGGGTAGCATAGCAAAATCTTCCATGTTGGTGTGTACTAAAAAGGTAGGCTAAGTAAAATCACATTAAGGAGAAACGAAGTTCGCAGGGGCAGCTAGTTTATATATCAGTTCGAAAACATGCATGCTTACATATTAGAAAATATGATGGTAAAATTTTTACACACATAAACATCAGTTATATTAAAACAGGAATTACAAACAAGCATATAATGAAGCAAGGAAAGGATTTATTTCGGTATTAGTATAAGGACTTATTTTTTATAGAACAGCTCACCTGATGATAAGTGATACCGCCACCTCAATGCCAGAGGGCTCACGAGTGCGTTGTTTGCCTTTTAAGAATTGGTTCTTTTCTTGAAGGACCCTAAGTGAAATTGGTTCGGAAATACTTCAGTGGGTAGCTAGTTCCCCATAATCCTGCGCGGCAAAAACTGCCCTAAATGACGCTCAGTTGTGGGGAACGACGAACGTCAAGGTGATACGGGTGGAATTTCGTATTCTTCAACGATGAAATTCAGCTTGTCCATGGTAAATGCGGTAGAGGATGCGGCGGATCAAGGATCAAGCTTTTAGAAAAGGTATTGGTCTTCCATGGTTCGATTAAGTCGGTTAAGTGGAAGGAGCTTGTAATGGGGAGCTCCCGCCCAGAGGTGAGCCGTGAGAACAGTACTCCGATTTTGCGCTTTATTTAGTTGCAAGCGATGGGAGTGAAGTACCGTCTTGCCTTGCTGAGCACACCAAGGTTTTTGGAGGCTAATTTAGCCATTCCCACCAAATGACCGCGAAACTGAACGTGGCTGGCTGACTGGCTTTGGCTTTAAGAAGAGTGTCTTCGAAAAGAGGAGTGTTTTATTGCGAATAACGCGCAAACTTGTGTCTTATCTGTGGTTAAATTGGACTAGACTTAGTCGACCACAATCCGAAACTCCACGCAATTTAAACGATTGGCAACTGCTCTAAAAATACTTGAACGGTCAGTGTAGATAGTATTCCCAGTGCTATTATCCGCATAGAAATCTATATTGCTAAGTTGCAAGATATCATTGATATGCAGATGAAATAGAGTCGGGCATAGAACACAGGTTTTGAAGTTTTTCACGGGTTTGAAGTCGAAACAGCTCCGTTAATGACGACCTTGATGCTCTGATCGGCCAGAAAGCTAGAGATCCAGTTGCATAATTTCTCGGGGAGCCCATAGACTGGAAGCTTCGAGAGAAGTGCTTTATGCCACACTCAATCGAAAGCTTTCGCTATATTTAAACGTCACCCTAGCTTAAGGGGCAGGTCCTTTGGAATCAATTGCCTCTGCCCATCTATGTGTAAGATATACAATAAGGTCACCAGCTCAACGACGACACCTTACTGATCGCTAATCAACTAGTAGCCCTCTAGTTACTTCAGGAGCTGGACGTAAATAATGCTTGCATTATTTTATAGAACAAGGAGGTTATAGCTATTGGGCGATAGATAAATCAGAGCTCTTCCAGCACTTCGGGACCGTGCCGAGCGAGTACAGAAAAAGGCGCGTTAGGACCGGAGCCAACTGACGAGCACAAGTAGGCAGCATAATTAGGGGGATGCTATCAGACCCGCTGGATATATCATTGTCCAAGGAAGGTAGAGTTTGTGATCGTCCACATCTGGTCATTACGGGGACCATTTGTGTCAGGTCATATGCCAAAGCAGTCATGAAAAGACCTACCCTCATGATCGGTGGTATCAGGTGCCGTGCCGGCATAGTGGGCGTTTAAGTCGCCAAATATCACGATTTCGGCGGCCGGGACCTTTTCGAGCAGGGATGATAATCAAATTTATGTTAGAATCAGCGCTGGTACTCTAATTTTCAATAGCAATACGACTTCAATATTGTTTGCGTGCTCAATTTCGACGTAGGATACATGTAAAAACTTGGTGAACTTGAGTCTAGTTGACTAAAACTAAATTGTGTCTATATCTTTGTGATATTTTAGGTATTATCCTCCTGGTAAAGAGTTTCCCTGGTTAACGATTGTGGGCTCAGCAAATCTCGGCGAACGCAGTGTCAAACGAGACTTAGAAGCCCAAGCGGCTATATTTACTTCATCTACAGATTTGCAGGTATTTCCAGTCTTTGGTTGTCTGTGCGGAAGGAGGAATGTCGTTTCAGGTCGCAGCCGTGCTCAATTTCCTTTATGTTGACAACACTGTGACACTATTCGACAGTAATCTGGATACTTCACATTCAAAATTGGAATCGCAGGTCGCGTAAGCGGCATGCCGGTTCTCTTTCCGCACAGACTACGTTATAATGTAAAGTCCAGTATATCTTATGGACAGTTCTATATGTAATTCGAGAGCATATTTTCTAGTGAACGTTAAACGTTTTTAACGGGTTTTCGTAAATACGTTAAAAACGTTTGACATACGGGAGTTACGACTCGAGAGACGAGCAGAGTCGAGAATTAGTGCGAACTATGTTGCATTAATTCTCGACTCTGCATTTTACTCTTATAGTAAAACTTTTTCATGGCAACCTACAAAGGCAATTCACTAGGCCCATGAGTGATGAACATAGAGAAAAATTGGTTTGAAATACATTAGATCTTTGTTTGTATAGTGGTTTTTGTGGGCATTATATATTGTATATAGATTGTACACAGAGCTGAGGCCCATATTCTAGAATCTAGAACGTTAATCATATTTAAATCTAGTTTTAAGAGCTGTCAAACAATTCTTTCTGTATGACGTTTGACATATTTGACAGTAGTCAAGACGAGATTGAGATAGGAATTGGAATATGGACCTTTGTTTAGTAGTTCCCTCAATCACATTTATCCTAGAAGTCTAGATTCTAGTCTCGATGTAACAACAATTATATAAATATAAGTGAACAGATATGCTGCATGAATTTCTAAGAATGTTTTCAGTGTTAATTCTTATGTAATTTTTTTTAGAAACGACTTCATGATGAATGTTCGAAGCTGCATAGTTACGCAACAGAATGCAGTAATAGCCTACAAGAGAGGCAGGTGCCTCTTTGGGTACGAGCCACTGTTGGGCTTTTTCGAACATACTTCTAGACACCATCAACTCGGAAATTTCGGCTTCGAAACTGGTATAAAGGCCTGGTTAAACTTTTAGATAATGTAATATTTAGGCATAACATTGTCTTGGACATATTTCTGTCTTTATAATTCCACTTATGTTGAAACCTGGTTTTTAGCTTAATAGCATTACTTTTGAGCTGTTTATTGTCTCTTAGTACAAACTGATGACGCTTTATGAATGAGTTAAATAATTGTTTTTATAAAGTTATTATTTAGAACGTGTGTTTTATTGTGGTAAGACGAAATAAAAATCGTATTCATTCATCATTCACTTATAATGCGTATTCTTATTTTATAATCACATAATTATAATTATTTCAATTCGCACTTAAAATAATTTTAAAATAAATTAAACAAAAACATTCTGCAATAATTTATACAAAATCAGTCGGTTTCTGACATTATTTGATTACAATACAATTAAAATTATACAATTTTATAATAATAGGAATCAGGCACATTAATAATAAATCTATGTACTTGTGAAGCGAGTTATTAAAAGCATAACACGCCGGTACACGAAAATTGCTAGACGGGCGACTTCTTTATCAACAGTTATAATTGGATCTTAACTTTAAACTGGCCTTTTTCAAAACAGGGAAAATATTTATCCAGTAGTTGAAAAAAAAAGAAATTTCTGAGTAGTCGCCCGCCCTAACTTATAAAGTAATTATTGATCCCACAAAACAAAAAACTCACTATTGAGCGTAAACATCGAAAACATTGCGATTGAGCAATCAAATGTTAATATCACTTGATAAATTCTGAGCAATTAAATTGGACAATAGCAAATATACGTAGAACGTAACTTCACCAGCGGAGTACGGACGCCATTTTATTCTAATCTTTGGTGTGATGGGTTGACGAAATGGCGCCGGCTAGATTATCCTCGTATTGTATTGAATCTAGCTCGGTCGCCACGCCACGTGGGAACATATGCGGTAACGCCTTCGACCTAATACTACGGACGCTGATAGGTACAAAAATAGTTCACCTATATATAATTAGGACTACTTAACACTTAAGTATCGCGAGGGGGCTTTGGAGAAACAAAACTGCAATTACCTACTATAAAAGTAGCTCAACAAGTGTTAACTTGCATCAGCGAAAACAATGACGGTGCGTGAGAGCTGGACAGCAGCACCCCTCGTATCGTATCACACTAAGGTAAATTGACTAGGCGTTTGTGACCGGTCACTGGTACCGCGACGAAACTGGCGCAAACGAAGCCATCCCATCCTAAACACTCATTCACTAATACTCAATCAAAAATTACATATCTTTCGGTACGATTAGATGCATCTCTAATTAGATGCCCTTAAATTAATTTATTCTTAATATGGACGGGAAATCGTTTGCGCCATTCTGAGTATTGTGTGATCAAAAGCCAGCGACATCGGGTGGTGGGTCTGGAGGCATGTAGTGCAGTTCATCTACGGGCCCGCTGAATATATTGTATAGGACGGCGAAAAGTGTACAAGCCGCGTAAGCTCCGAGTGCCGCCCACCACAGCAAGCGTTCCCATAGACGCTGTTGGGCGTGCTTCAGGACGAGCAGACCAATGGTCAGCCCCGCTAGAGCACCTGCTACGTGTGCCGCGTAAGATACGGGTGGCGCTTCCTAAAACAAAAACATATATCGTTAAATATAATAAAAAAAAAATATTTTTTTAAAGCTTTCTAAAAGAAAATAATCACAATATGCTGTTTTTTGAGAGTTTAATGTTCAATAAACGTTACAATTGAAAATATACTTTCTTTTTCTCTTCTCTTCCACTTGCGCGTTTTAAAAGATAAAAGAAAATTTATTTAGACCTTAGGTTCAAAGTGGTATGTCATTAAAGTACTCACTTTAGTATATCTAGCGTGAACGGCAAAGCCGACGTCACACGAGGCAACCGCCAGCGCGGCTACCAATCGCACAGCGCCATAGCGCATAGCGTGGAAATTCAGCAAGGCGTTTGCCAAGTGAGCAGCCAACAATGCGTAAACTCCACCAGAAGCTCCCGCGAGGCACACGTCTGGGTCTAGTACTGAAGCGGCCAAAGAGCCACCGAGGACACCCGCTAAGTAAACGGCCCCACAACGCGCTGCGCCATGAACCATTTCTAACGGCAAACCCACCTGGAATAAAAATTGTATTAATACTAATTAAAAATGAAATTAAAAATATAAGATTATAAATAAAATCTATGGGTAATATGTGTAGGTTTCGTGCATTTCGATAACCAATTACGCCCTTTTTATTTGCATCATATCTACATTTAAAGTACAACGTAATAAATTACAGATTCGTATTAATTATCTCTATACAATGATGTATGATACTTTAAACATTGCGTGCTTTGTGACGGATTACGTATTGATATAAGGAAGCCCTAGTAGGTGTTAAACAATACTCTATCATAAATCTGTATCTATTGGAAAAAGGCTTCATTTCTATACATAGAATCGGCCTAATTTCTACCAGGTACTAAATGAATTTCATAGAAGTTTGGACCTAAACGGACTTATATAAATTTAACCAAACAATCGCTATTAATACATACCGCAAGTTGTACAAGGAGGTTGAATGCGAGATGAAGCCAGCCCGCGTGTACGACACTGTAGGTGAAGAACCTCCAAAGTTCGCGGCGTCTGTCCGGGCGGTACACCAGGGGAGAGTCGACAGGCACGGGACCAGCCGCTGCAGCCACGCCTCCTGAACCCCATGAGTACCACGCGAATACGCCAAGCTGAAACATAAAAACATTTATACCTTTTACAAAACGTATAGAGCTAAGCAATTTAGGATTCACAAGAAATAGCGCATCGCAAGGGGATTAAAAAAAACTTAAGATGTGTGTCCTCGTAAAGAAAAGAGCGGACATTTTCTTATGAAAAAAAATAGAGTTAGGGGCCGTTCAAGTATTAGGTAAGCACTATAGGGGGAGGGGGGTCTTTGATTTTATTATTTGGTGATTACGTCAACAGTAATTATTTACTTTTTTACACATAGAAACGAAATGCAATTTTGAGGATTCTTACAAAAAATTAAGACGTTTATGTACTATTATTTTTGAGAGATTTGCCTACTTTTGCTGACAAGAGGATGGGGGATAGATTGCATACGTAATACTTGAACGGCCACTTATCTTTATCTAAAATAATAGTTTAATTTGAAACAAATTGTTCACGTTATTTATTTATTTAGGTTAACAATATGCCTATAAACCGAAATCTATGGGAAATCACGAAAAATTGTCTTCTATTTGCTACGCACGTAAATTTGTTAAAGGTTTCTCCAATACCGGATACATTAGAATAGAAGAGGTAACAAAATGCATTCTTAACGGGAATAACTGTTATTGTAACAACTAGTTTGCAATTTCTACATTACATGCAAAAACTTAGAAATGTTCTCTTTAATGACTTTCTTGAAATGAATACTCGCATATTGTGGCATTCAAAACAATTACATAGCGTAACTCCCCACTAGTACATTTATGTATTACTACGATGTGTAGGTATACGATTTCGTTTACGCCGTTCTTTCCTTGGCACATATTTTAGACTTTACATACATATATTTATGGCATATTTCATAATCTTAAAAGTACAAAATTAAAAACATCAATTACTAATAACATTTGAATAATCAGACTGCAGTTCAAAATTTTTAAATAGGAAAACGGTAGAGTACCTCATTATCTATACCGTAGAGAATATGAGGAATCGCTTGTGTAGCGGTGAATCAATGTGTGACGGCTTGCGCACGCGCATCAATGTAATTGTTATGATTCACGTAAAGCTCTTGTTTGTGCGGATGTGAAATCCGCAATTACACTTTTTAATTAGCCAACGTAACTGGAGCGGGGATAGAACGGTGTTGAGAAAGTGATGAGTTTCGTCCTAACGGCGAATACAATATTTGCGTCTAGAAATACGATAGAAACGTCACAGATCGAAAGTGATTTTCTTTTAAGCTCCGCCAAATCCAATCGATACTTTCAGTATGGGTCCATTCTATATAAGTACCTATATAGTTTTTAAGGACGTTTATGTAGAGGAATCTTACTCCATTTTTTATTATTAATGATCGACATAAAAATAATAATAAAATACTTAATATAATATTGTAACTTTCGTTTCGTATCAATAATATACACCTATGTGAAAATTTGGAACTTGCCCAAAGCGAAGATATTATGACTACGGGAATAAAAGATTCTAACCTCTAATAGAGTAACGCAGATGATAAACAGTGGTGGGGGGCAGCACGTATACCTCTCTTGGTAATACTTGCGATCCCGCTCTTCGGGGAGCACTTCCATTGCTACTAAATGCACCATCCTGGAATTATAAATATTTATTAGCTATTTTGAAGACAATTAATTTGCAGTAGGCAAACGAATTAGAATTAGGCTTGAAAATATGAAGATTTGATCATAATAGTTTATACGTTACCTGGCAAAGTTATTTCCTTGTTTTACAATTAAAGTATTTTGTTGTGTACGGTAACTATGCGTGCAACGAAATGCCGTAATTCTATACTTTCACGTTATTCTTAACGCATATCGGCGTATTGGAGCAATTTATCAACAGATTTTATTGCGGTATAGCACAGCACATGTCACTCTGACACGAGAAAGGAACATAAAAAATTTAGCAATCTCTTTCAACTCACATGAAACACTGAAAATTTTGTAACTATTGGGTGATATTAGAATATTTGCTAAATCATTTTACAAGAATTTTGCGGTCCCGACATTGTAATGGGACGGTGACGTTAGTAAATAAAGGTTACATAGAAATGACAAACGTTGTCACGAGTAATGACACATCTTAAAACAATTGCCAATTATATTATCTAAGCTGTTTTAAAGTTATTTCAAATTTCGAACACTTAGAACACGCGCCAATATAAACCTTTTAATTGCCTAGATCTCGTTTAAAACCAATTAAATTTCGAATTTACCTGGCGAATAGAGTGGGGTCCTCAAGAAGAAGGTGGAAGTCGTTCTCGGAGCTGACCTCTCGGTCTCTTTGATGTACTGCGCATCTATAACTACGAGTTCTTTTGCCACTCATCTGTAACAAAAAATCGTATATTAATATTAATACATTTAGAATTAAGCAAAATAACCGTTGATGTAAAATTTTCACCGAATAACCCAATTTTTTATTGTTATAATGCAAGATCTTTCCCATGAAAAAATAATTACTTAAAATTAACATGTAAACGTTAATTGTGAGAACTTTTCTAATAGAACATTGAAAGTCATTGTAAAATCGTTTGGTGAATTTGGCAAGAACATGGTGATAGGCAATATAACGTCGCGCGGTGGATTGATGTGTCGCGGCACAAATCGAGGCTGGCTCGGTTCCAGTATCGATACGGGTTAGGCACTAGAAAATTGTATCTATCAAGATTTAATCAATTAAATAAAATAGATGTATTCTCCTTTAAATTGAACCCATTGAGTAACGTATGAGTAAGAAGGAAAATGTCCAAATGATATTATGTATTATAAATATATTTATTAACTGAGTATAGTTTTAGTAAAAAGTATCCAGGAATAAGTGATTTATTAAATTGAACACTTGGCATTTTAATTAATTTGAAAAAAATACATTAACGTTAAGTGTTCTTTGCATTCAAAATTAACATGCCGTAATCAAGGGTTTTTATTTTTTTAATATTTAAACACTAACGTAATATGTACAATATTAATATACTCTCAATTTCTCATCTCTTAAATCGCTTAATGTAATCTCAACATAAGTAACTGACTACTGATTTGACGTTCTAAATTTATTTATTTGAATACATTACTCAGGTCGATTTAGATCTTGGGATGAGTCAAAAAAGCTGAATCAGTTCATTTCAGTGTTGTAGGTACATCCGTGTACTATAAACCCATGGCTATCGACCGAGGGCCGCCACCCCATGCGACGGCCGGCGGCTGAATCGATGAAAAACTTAGGTCAACTACACAAATAACAAGCCCTAGAGTACTGTATATTTAATTATTATATTAAATTTAACAGAATATTACATTTTTAAAACTATTCGACTTTGCGTTGGTTTTTGGGATCTAAAAGTGAAATAATTATCTTACTTCGTAAATATATACCTTTTTAATTGTGATGGAATTGTTTTCATAATATTATTTTATTTAAACAAATCCGTTAGTCTGTAGTGAGTTTTAAAACAATTTTTGTCATGACTTATGGGGCAACGTTGAGGTATTTTAATGGCTAAAATTTGAGGTCGAAGGTGGGTGGTGGTTGTAGGTAGTAAGCATCCAACGAATTGGCTGCGACTATCCATTAGACCATCGCATTGTCCCCGCAGTCGTTCAACTCTTGTTTCCCACGAGACGGCTATTGCCAATGCCAAAACTCAAATAGCGTAGACGGGGCGCAGACGCCAGCTATATCTGTCCTAGCGACTATATATCACAAAACGAATAGACATGTTTATAGATGTACAAATGCAGTTTAAAATACTTATAATTTGTAATAATTGCATATAATTGCAATCCCACAGCAGTAATAAATTAAATATAGCATTATTAGGGAAAGATTATGCGACGCCGTCGTTTTGATACTTTAAGTCAATTGATTGGGAAAAAAGTAGTTTGACAGTATATTAAACATTTTAATTTATAGCTTAGCTGGCTAGTGCCGTATATAAATGACTTGTTTAACGATAAGTCCATAAACTTTTCGCAGATTCTGCGCGGGCCGGGCGCCAGTGGGCGCGGTGCGACCGACGTGGGCGCCATGGGCCGTGTGAGTCAGCCCGACATCCGACACGTCCGATATATATCCGGAACCACTAACTAGGCTCTATTCCTATTGCCCATCAAACATGCGCGCGAGCCTACGCGATGCGATAATCATTATAATAAGCTATTATTTATGGCTTATAAAGCTTTTTGTAAATTAATTGACAAACGAGTAAACTAGTTTTATGTTCCCCTTATTTCTCTATTATACTTCGCTCTAGGTATTACTTACAATATCTATTTTTTTTACTTGTATGATGGGTAGCTAATAGCAATGATTAAACATATTAAATATTTTACCTTTATTTATTAGTACCTATTCATGAATATCTACATTCAATGGTTTACACAACAGAATGTTGAAAGACAGTGGGTTTAGTTATTGGAGAATTATGAGCGTAGGTGCTGGCATAGATTCATACTTGTATGAATGGAAACATAATTGATCTTTTTGTAAAGTTCATTCAGAAAAGAGTTCTTTCATTACTTTTAGTAAATATAATATAGTTTTAAATATTATTTAAAAAGTATTTTATGTGTATTATGAAAACTTGTAGAAAAGTAATGTACACATATCTAGATCTTGAATTTGTTAATAGTACATTTAGAATGGCATTATACCATAGTAAACTCTGGGAGAGTTCTCACGTAGAAACTTCTATCTCTAGATATAATCATTATGTCGCATCTTTTCAATTATTTATGCACTATTTTATAAATGTGAAAGTTGCTACATATATCATATTGCTATTCTAAAAATCCATTTACATACATTTATTATAACTTGACTTATAAAAATTACTCCATTAAGACTTAAACATTTTGTTACAGGCTGCACCAATTTAACGTCATATTAATAAGGTTTTAATTACATTTATGAATAAGTAAAATATGTTGTCAGACCATAGGTGTACCTATGTATTATATGTATACTAGGTCAGTTTGAATGTTTGGAGTGTCTCAGACGAAACATGTTTCGACTAGTTCGTAAACAATATGATATGGATATTTTTTCCTTCTACATCCTTAAAAATATAATTAATCTAGTCTACAGAATCTTGAAGGGCGTTTAAGGGCATTCCCTTTAATTTAAATCATTATTTAAATAGTTATCAGAATATATGTACCTAGAAAACTTATCACTTTTATTGAAAATGTTTTGGTTCTTAATAAAAAATATAATTAATTATATAGAACACCTACTCTTTATCCTAGAATGTGTAATTAAAATTACCACAGCAAAAGGATTAAAACTATTACTGGCACCTACAAAAAACCCTATGTACAGTAAATGACAATTGACATATTATGATTTGATACCTACAGTAATCAGGTTTTTTTATTGTTTTCAGATTTTGCTCGTATGGTTTATGACTATTATAGGTCATACAAATATATATGTATTTGTGATGATTTTTACAGATGTAATGTAGCGTAGTCAGTTTTGTTAATTAATTAATAATAACCTAAATATTAGGTTAAGTTTCCTGTTTAGTGTTACAGCAGTTCAAAGGTATATGAATTAAGAATATTATTATTGTAATCAAAACTATAACGTATATTTAGTTAGTAAGTTAAGAATATATTTAAAGTAGAGTTTTTTTTGATGTTTTAAGAGGTACTTACCCATGTTTCAATTAAACTGAACAACACTTAGTAGTCAATAAAATTTATATGCAGACGTCTAATATACTTGTATAACTTCACTTTAATACTATTTGAGGTAGATTTTTATTAATAATCTTCGATTTGTTTATATCTTTCACTCGACATTGAACACGCGATTGTATTCTAACCGTTCAAAGTTAGAAGCGACACAACCTCCCCACACGAACGTTCGCCGCAGACTGAGTTGAAAATTATTCGAATTTCAAGTCGTCAAGTTTTGTTCCGACTTCGCGCCCCGACACCGGACTTGGTTTTTTCTTATTTTTCTTTCTTTCAGGGGTTCTAAATCGAACGTGCCTTTTTTAGACGACTGCTTCAACGACGCTGACAGGGTGAAATACGTAAACAGTTACATTACATGTATCAAAAGCAATTAAAGAATTGCGAATTTAATAATTTATGATATTATAATGTGTTTGTGAAAAAAGTTGTAAGTTTTTTTCAAGAAATATTGTTATATTCTTCTACTATTTACAAAGTAACTCTAACAGTTATTTTATAATCGTTTCGTTTTAGAATAGCCATTATAGAATATTGTCGCACGCAGCTATTATTTATTAAAGGTGTTTATTATACACGATCAAACGGTGATGTTGGTAAATGAGTTTACGTGTAATATACTTAGTTCATATTTTATGACCAAACTTAGAAGCGAAACCGTTGTCATCTTTTAGTATATATTTTTAGAAAATACTTTAAGTTGCGATATTAGCAGATACAATAAAAATTGCAGACAACTTTGCCAGATGTTAATGCAAGACAAAAGGTTTACTTAGAATTACTTTTACCTGTGATTTAACATCTGTTTTGGCTTACGGTAATGGCCTTAATCATTTCCATATGTTTTGCCTAAGATAACTGAATAATAAATGCAACTTTTACTGCGAAGTTTTCGTTCATATTAAAATCAAGTCTTACCTAAGTTATATTCAGGCCAACATTATTTTGCTATAACAAACCAATTTGTTTGAAATTCCCGTAACTTTATATTTTTCTAGCTTTCCTAATTTATTTATTTATTGAGGAATCTAAACAGATACATCTCTATACAGTAAAAAATAAATGTAAAACATAAAATAAATAGACACATTGGACACATCCACAAAAAATATTGACGATGCCATTGGAATTTAAATATTTAGATGTAAATTCATGAAGTGGAAAATTCTTCGGATCACACCTTAAGGAAAGACGGGAATAACATAGGCATATACGATAGAATGGATGGTGTCAAAGAATTATCTAATGCAGGCTAATAAACTACTTATTGACAGATGCCGACGCATTTTGGACCATTCTTTAATGACATTTCACGGTTAGTTGCAATTTGTATCAGGGGATTGCAAGGGGCAGGTGGTCGACAGGAGGTCTGTTAATTTGTACAATATTTATAGCAATATGGTGTCAGCACAAATAGTCGGTAATTTGTTGAAGCGCTGCTACTAATGACTTCAGAATCAGTTGATGCCACTTTTTTGTGAACGCGAGTTCCTTTTATGTTTATTTGCAGTAGTGCGAGTATTTACATATATGTATATGTTTAAGAAGTCGTAACGTTACCCGTATCACAATATAACGCGCTAACTAATATTGACAAATTTTCATACTTTAGATTATTTTTACCTGAAG